AACCCACCCGTTCCCTAGCCTCAGCCTACCCGAGGGGCTGTGTCTACAGCAGGAAACCCAGGGCCACACGCTGTCCAACAATGGCCCGTGACCCACCTGAGCCTCCAGGTTTTGTGACCAGGCCCAGCCCCCTTCCCTGGAGGGTGGACCAGAAGCACCACACGTGGGAAGGACTGGTCGCACTCCGGACTAGACAAGTCTCTACCTTTATTGGCCAGCAGGCTACTTAAGGGGGATGAAGCGGGAGGAGTGGGTGGCCCCAATGCCGGGCCGGCCGTGCTTCACAGGCTTGTAGGTGATGGAGAACTCGCCTAGGTAGTGGCCGATCATCTCAGGCTGAGGAGGAAGGGAGCAGGGTGGTCAGGCGGGCGTGGGTGGCCACGCCCCGCCCACCCCGGCCCAGCACAGCCCACACGCACCTTGATTTCCACCTGGTTGAAAGTCTTGCCATTGTAGACGCCCACCATGCTGCCCACCATCTCGGGCAGGATGATCATGTCGCGCAGGTGCGTCTTCACCACCTCCGGCTTCTCCATGGGCGGCGCCTCCTTCTTGGCCTTGCGCAGCCGCTTCAGCAGCGAGTGCTGCTTCCTCCGGAGGCCGCGGTTCAGCCGCCGCCGCTGCCGCGCGCTGTACAGCTGCATCAGCTGCTCACTGCAGGCACAGCGCACAGAGCGGGAGGCCTGAGACCCGGCTCACCCCCACCGCCCGCCCACTGACACTCCCGCTTCCCGTAGGGCCCCCAAAGCAACACTCGCAGCCCGGCCAGGGCCCACGGCACCCGCGCCGAATGTTCGGGATAAAGCCCTCCGGTTCAAGAACCGCCCCCCCCGCCCCCCGCTGTCTACAAACGAGGAAGCCGAGCCAGGAAAAGAGGTAGCTCAGGTGAGACGGCGGAGCCGCCGAACTTCACGGGCAAACTGCTCTGCCCCGAAGGCCGCAAGAACCCAGCAGCGGGGCCACCCTGAGAAACCCACAGCCAACGAGGACCCTGTGCTGTGCCCCCAGGAAGCCGGCCCCCTCCGAGCCAGACCCGCGTACACCTCCAGGAAAAAAGGCGTCCCTGGCTGTCCGCAAGCCTCTCTCCCCATCTGGGGGCCAGGTCGTCGCACCCACCCTGCCTAAAAGCTTCCAGCTCCTCCAGTCAAACCTTAAGACCAGGGATCGGCAAACTCCCGCCCACGTACCAAATCCCAGCCTGCAGCTGCCCGATCTCAAGAGGCTCGCGAGCTAGGACAGCGTTTACATTTCCGAGTGGACGAAAACACGTCCAAAGAGGACGCGTAGAAATCCTTTTAAATTCGATCCTCAACGTCTCCACGTGGAGTTTTATCCGCACGCAGCCCCGCCCTCTCCTTTACACACGGTCTACGGCCGCGGCCGCAGGTCAGGCTGCAGCCCCCAGCCCTCGGGCACCCCCGCCGCCGCCATCCCCCTCCCCTGCCCGGCCGCCACTTACTAGGACATGTCCAGCAGCTGGTCGAGGTCCACGCCGCGGTAGGTGAACTTGCGGAAGGTCCGCTTCTTCTTCTGCTCCACTTCCGCCTGCGCGGGCCGGGATACTGGTGAGCGGGACCCCGAGACCCATCTCCCAGCCTGCGGCGGCATAACCGGGCCCGCGGCTCCCGCCGAGAAACGTGCGGCCCTCCCGGGCACGGAAGCCCACGGGGACGCACCACCTCGGGCCCGTCCTGGGGCGGCCCGGGGCTACGGGGGCTCGGCTGGGACAAGCGGGCCGACACAGGCCTTCCCTGCCCCGGGTCGTCCCGACACCCAGCAGGCCCGCCCCGCGCCCCCATGTCCGGAGGCGGTTCCAGAGGCTTGCAGGAGGCTGCCGCAGCCGCGCGGCCTGACCCCGGCCTCCACTGCGCGACCAGAGCTCGGATGGCGCCGGATGGGCCCGGAACAGACACACTAACCGTGACACTCACCATCTGGTCGGCTCTTCAGAAAGGATCGTCCTTTCTGCGCCTGCGCAGTTATCTCGCGTCCTCTCACGTGCCCCGCCCCCGGGCTGCGCGCGCGCGCGCTTCCGCTTTCCCAACGGAGGACGCGCGCCCTCTGCTGTCCGGAGGCCAGAGCGCTGGCTGCGAGGAATAAAGGAGCCTCTGCCAACCTTGGGCGCTCGGACCCCTCAGGCTGGAGCCGGCCGCCTAGTATTTGGGAGCCCCTTCCTCAACTGGGGGACGTGAGACGCGTCGCCGCCCGTTTTGGAAACTCATATTCGTGCTCCTTAATCTCCATAATGAAATCCACGTAAAAAAGTGTTTATGGAGTGCCTGTTTGCAGTAAGCGCGCTGTCTCGGTTCGGGACTGGCCCTCCCCTAGGGAGCTCGCGTCCCAGTGGGCGAGACAGACCCGTAAGAAACAAGGTCATACAGATATCTGATCCAAAAGGAAACTCGGGGGGTTGGGACACTGGCTTTGCACAGATGGTCAGAAACGGCTTCCCTGATAGGGACCAGCCAGCCTTTAACAGACGAACTCATATCGATATAAAGTAACAACTGCAACATTGCAGTGCTAGGTTTGCAACACATAACATGTGATATGTCTAACAAGAAGAGCAAGGACGGGCCGAGGGATGAGAGCTATATAGGAGTACACTTTCAATAGTCACTGGAACAAGTGTCCATCTGAAGGCAATTCTGGTACATTAAGATGTATGTGGTACCATGTGGCCCAGCAGTCCCACTCCTGCGTGCATACCCCAAAGAACTGAAAGCAGGGACTCCAACAGATTTGCACACCCATGTTCACAGCAGCATGATTCACAGTAGCCAAAAGGTGGAAACAACCCAAGTGTCCATCCATGAATGAGGGATAAACACAATGAGGTCCACCCACACAGTGAAATATAATTGAGCCTTAAAAAGGAAGGAAATTTTGACACATGCTACAATGTGGATAGAACTTGAGGACATCAGTGAGAGAATCCAGACATAGAAGGACAAAATACTGTATAATCCCACCCATGTGAGGTCCCCAGAGGACCCAAATCCATAGAGGCAGGAAGTAGATGGTGGGGGTCAGGGGCTAGGAGAGGAGGATGGGGAGTTAAGAGTTTCAGTTTGGGAAGAGAAAGTTCTGGAGATGGATGCGGGGGCGGGGATGGTTGCACAACAATGTGCATGTACTTAATGCCACTGAGCTGTGCACTTAAAAAGTAGTTTAAAATGGCCAATCTTGTATTTTTTTAATTTTTTTTTTTTTGGCTGCGTGGCATGTGGATCTTAGTTCCCTGACCAGGGATCAAACCTGTGCCCCCTGCAGTGAAAGTGTGGAGTCTTAGCCACTGGACCACCAGGGAAGTTCCCTACCAATCTTATATTTTGTCACAGTAAAAAGCAACCCAACAGATGTGTGTGGTAAACTATAGAACAACCCCTAAAAAACTCAAAAAGCACGATGAAAAAAATTAAAAGAATTAATTTTCTAGCTACACTAGAAAATAGTCACTGAATGCAAAAGAAAGCCGTAACAGAGGCATACAAGAACAAAAAGACGTGATACATAGAAAACAGTTAAACATTTGGCAGGAGTAAGCCCCATGAATAGAGGATGCAATCTGCCCTGCAGGGAGACTGAGGTCCTGGAAGAGGGAGTGAATGTGCAAAGCCCCTGAGGTAGGAATGAGAAGATAAAACAAGAGAAAAGGCCAATGCCCTCCCCTCCCCCCGCCACATGACTCCACCGCGCCTCACTCAGTTTGCCCTCACTCAGTTTGCGTGTGGAGCACGAGGTAACTGTCTCTGGCCCCCTACCGACCAAGTGGCTTTTCGGGGAGCTGGGGCTGGCCTGGAGGGGACGGGAAGTCTGAGCCCTCCTCAGCCATTTCCACAGGGGGGGGGGGGGGGCGGGAGGGGCAGTAACCAATTAGGCTTCACGCGAAGGAGGGGACGTCCCTCCGTGCCCCAGTGGGGTACAGTCACTGTGTTTGGGACTGCAGGAAGTGTCAATCAGGGTGTGAAGGTGCGAAGCGGGCTTGCCCAAGTTTACGGAGGCAAACGTGGTCCTGGGAGCTCCTGGCTGGCTGGAAGCCCCTTAAATGATTGCACTGCACCCTTTGGCCAAGAGACTGTAATTTTGCAGAGAATTCATCTTGCTGATGTAAGGAGCTAACTTTTAACAATGCGACGACACGCGGTGGGGACTGGAGGGTGAGGGCACGAGGCCCCCCACTCTGCCTGACCCTGCTGCTTCTGTGAACCGGAGGGATGGGAGGAGGAGGGGTGCAGTCTTGGAGGGTCGTCTTGGGTCTGGGGGAGAAGATGCCCGTTTCACTGGCTTTCTGGGCTGAGCCAAGCTTCCCTTTCCCCGCAAAGTGCACTGGGCTGGGGCTCTCCGGCTGTCTAGTTCACCGCATTCTCAAGCCTGGCACACTGGAGCCATCCAGGATTTATGTTCTGAAATCTTGTTTTTATGACAACGGAACGGCCCCGTCACTTCACGTGGCAGAGGAGACTCTGCAGGTGGGAACTCGTCCCACCCCGCCTCCCTGGCCCCCAGGTTCCCTCTGCATCTCTGGGATCCCCCTTGGCTAGGACTCGAGCTGCTCCACTGCCCAGGCCTGGCCCTGCCTCTGGGGCCCTGTGAACAACAGCTGGGCCCCACCAAGTGCCCACCATGACGACCTTCAGCTCCCTGAGCTGCACCCCACCGGCCCTGAACTGGGGGTGCCGACAGCCCCAACCCATGTCCACGGCCCACTTCATGGAAAGATGAGCGGCCCGCCCAAGGCCACAGTCCAGGTGTCACTCCCGCAGGGGCGGGGGTGGCCTGGCCAGCCCCACCCACGTGTGTGCAGGCGTCTCTTCCTCGGAGCCCGGCAAGTGGCCTCTGAACCCTGGGACCCAGGGTCCCTCACAGTGCGTCTGCAGCTCTGACCAGGCCCCCCCCCACCAGACCAGATCCCCCAAAGCCCCAGACCTGCCGAAGAGGGCCCGGGCTCCCCACACGGAAAGGGGCTCCTCTAAGCAGAGGGAATAACAGACACAGCGTGGGTTTCTAATCCAAACGCACTTTCTTTATTCAAACCGGTCAGCGGGGACGCCCTAAAGCCCCAAGCGCGGGAGATGGGCTGGCCCGGCCTCCTCCTGGTCCTTGACGCCAGAGCGGACGCAGGCGAGCGCGGCCCCACGGCGCACCTGCAGACATGGCCAGGCACGCCAGTCGACAAAAGCAAAGAATAAACAAAAAACAAAACACACTCAGTAGATTTCTTCTTTAAGCTCCCAGAGTTTCTGGACCAACGAGTCCCAACCCTCAAAGCCAGGAGTGAGGGACTAAAAACGCCCCTCACCTCCACCAGTGCCGACAGAAACCCTGTTTTAAATTAAAAAATAAGCGAGTATACATTGTAGAAAATTTCTCTTAAAAATCTCACAATTTGTAAATGTATATTTTTTTCTTTAACATAAAAGTTTACAATATACGGTAAAATAAAGGCTCAGGAAAATAATTGCAAAAAAAAGGAAGAAAAAGAAACCTGAAGTTTTGAATTAAAGCTGAAGAATTTTTTTAACCCTGTTGTTGAACCAGTGACTTTTTTATTGAGCTGATGGGTTAGAGAAATAATACGTTTAAAAACTTCGGTCCAGATGCCCACAGCCACCGCCAGAAGCCCCCCACGCTCCAGTTGGTATTTTCCCCAAGTTTGTGATTGTCACGAGTTCACAAGTTTGAATCCTGGCCTCAGCCGCCCGACATCCTCAAGGTGCTGCGGCTAGCGTCGGTAGGGGTGGAATCCTTGTACGTTGTGGTTCTGACCGCGTCCAAAGCCACTTCCGCCGGCGGGGGGACCCCCCGAGCCGGGCACCGAGGGGCCCCCATAGGAGGGGGGCTGCTGGCTGGGGTCTGAGAAGCCCTGTCCGAAGCCCGCCAAGTCCTGTCCGTAACCTGCGGGGAAGGGCTCAGTGAGTTGGGACCACTTCCGCTCCCACTGGCACCCACGGCCAGGGCCCTGCGCGGGGCAAGGCATGGACCTGGAGGGTGGAGGGCCCACCTGGGGGCCTCGGCAGGACCCTGGGCAGCTGTCTTGCACAGAAAGAAAAGCAGCTCTGAGACCCCTCGGACCCCTCGTCTGTCCCGTCTGCTCTCAGCCCCTTTCCCCACTCACTGCCCTGCCCTCACGGCTGGAGAGGCCCTTGAGCCTGGAGACACAGATGATCTGGCCTGCCTTGGTGGACCACAGGCTTCTAGAAAGTTTGTCCTCAGGTGGACCACAGGGTGGACCACAGGGTGGACTCAGCACAGATTTCAGGATGGGAGGAAACGTGACAGGCCAGCCTGAGGTACAGGTACAGAGCTTGGCCCTGACGGTGCTGCCTGCACAGCCCCTCCAGGTTGGGCAGTCCCTCCTCCAAGCAGGAGCAGACCCACACCACGCGCGGTGGAGGGGGCCGTCCCGGGGGCCCAGACGCCCACCGTGCTGCCCCATGGAAGGAGAGCTCGGGGCTAGCGGGGCGGTGGCCGGACGAGATCCTTGCCCCGGCAAGGGCCCGTCCCCGAGGGCACCGCCGAGTCCACCCCCGCCCAGGATGGCAGAGGAGGCGACATCGTGGCCCGGGCGCAGGCAGTGGGGACCGTGGAGGAGGAGGCGCCACCTACCTAGGCCACATCACTGCTCAGCCTGACCATAAGAGTGTAAACAAAGTGAGGGCCGAAGCCTGGCGGCTCTGGAGAAGAGGTACCCAGGCCTGGCAAGAGACGAGACCAGGCTGACTGCCCCAGGCGGCCTCGGCAGAGGAGCAGGGGCGGGGAGGGGCACACGCGCTGTCGCTCGCACACCCCCACCAGGGGCCGGCGACCCCACACCCGCCACCACCGCCACGTCCTGCTCTGGGTGAGGTGAGAACCCACATGCTCAGGGACCGCGGCCGGGCAAGGCCCCCAGGGGAACAAGAGCGTGTGGTGTAGGGGTGCTGGGGGCGTCTGTTCAGCGCCAGCAGAGCCCCAGGCCCACCCTGTCCCCACAGGAGCTCCTCTGATGGGTGCGGACCCCGGGCTCCAGCATCCACCTGGCAAGCACCCTTGGGGACGCACAATGCTGACGTCGCACGGCCCTCACACCCGCCCTGCGCCCTACAAACCCAGACACCCAAGGCGGCAGGGCCCACCGGGGCGCCCCCAGGCACAAGGCCCCGGACGTCTGCCAGCCGCGGATGCTCCTCCGCGCCAGCGCCCTGGCTGAGACCCCAGAAACCAAGCGCCTGCATAAGGCCCGCTCGAGCCTGGGTCTCTCGAGCTCTCCCCGCGGCGCGTGGATGTGGGGAGCGAGGCACTCACCGTACTGACTGTACGGGAAGTCGGGCTGCGCCGACGGCGGTTTGCTCATGTCCGGAGCGGCCTGAGACGGAGGCGGCGGGAAGGCCAGAGGTGCAGCCCCCGGAGTGGCCGGTGGTGGGGGAACCCCTGGGGGGGCGAACTGATCCGGTGGGGGAGGTGGAGGCCCGTAGCCAAAACCTGCGGGCAGACAGGAAAGACAAACACAGACGCGGTGCTCACCCTCAGGAAGCCGCCCAGACCACCTCCACCCAGCAGCCAGGCCTCGAGGACGCCCACAGGCCGGGCCCACAGCCGAGGAAACGACCCCCACCGGGCAGAGCCCGACCAGCGGCCAGCCTGGCAGCACACGCCTAGCCGGGCGGGGCCGCAGCCCGGGTGGCCTTGGGAAGGCGGGAAGTTGTGAGCCGTCCATGAAGGGCGCCCCGCTCTTCCTCATCAGAAATGAAACTGGCCGGGGGCTGGGCCGGGAGCAGGCGCCCCTCCTGTAAGGACACGCGGTCATCAGGTGGCCCGCAGGCCCTGGTCCGGGCTACAGGGCTGCACTGCCCGGTCCCGGGTCCAGGGTCCCTGGCCACAGGGGGCTGCTGAGCACGCCGCCCCAAGGAACACGAGGGAAGGAAGGCAGAAGACACTTCCTGCCGGCCGAACGATACACTCAGGTGGCTGCTTGTCGGCCCTACAGGATCAGGTGAGGCACTTCTCTTTCCTGATGGACACACGGTCACCACGTGTGGCCACACCCCCTCTACCCACGGTGCTGGGGGACGGAAGGCCCGCCCCAGCCCTCCAGGGGCGCCTCTTCAATTACAGCTGGGCACAAAGCAAGTGAATCAAGTCCCCTCAAGTGAAGCACGGAGAGCAGGTCCCTAGGGATCAAGGTGAGCAAGAGGGTGGGGGAGGGAGAGGGTCTCTGTGTCCGACAGGGCCCGCGGCCACTTACTGAACTGCGGGGGCGCGCCGTAGCCCTGGGGGAAGCCCTGGGGAGGGGGGAACCCTCCAGGAGGGGTAGACACGATGTAAGAGGTGAAGGGCGGAGGCGGCGGGGGGGCTCCTCTTCCTGCGGGGGGCGGTCCGTAGCCACCTGGAACACAGAGAGCAGGATGAGGGCGGGCAGAAGCCCCCAGCCCCATCCACCAGTTTCACACCCTGTTCTCTCCATCTCCTCCCAACAGGGACTCACCGATCGCCTGTCCTGCTGGCACCCACATCCCTGCAGGGAAAACAGAGAGGGGTGGGTGCTGCGTCAGCGCCATGGCGTGGACTGGGGACCCCCGCCCCCCGCGGGACCTGGTGTCCTGACGCATCACGGGTGCAGGGGAGACGTCAGAGGGGAGCCTTCCTTGGGTCGCATGGCCCCAGCCCTTCCAAGCAGCCCCTCGGTCGGGAGGGCGGGGACGCCCACAGAGCAGGGACTCAGTCGCATGTGTGGGACTCAGGCTGGGAGGCAGGAAGCCAGGGCGGCCTCCGGCCAAGCGCTGGTTCTTCCCCTGCTTGTGGGTGTGAGGGCATCTGGTCTCACTAGATGGTCCCCTACAGCCGTGGCTTGTTTTGCAATAAAAACCATTCTAAAAGCCAGCCCTGGAGAGACCAGGAATAAAGCCTGGAGCCATGCAGAAACAGTCTATGAGCTTGGGGGCGCCCGGTGCCCTTCCCTGGACAGTGTTCCTTCCCTAGGTTTCTAAAGGGAATGGAGGCTCCTGGATCCTGGCTCGGGGCCCCTGGCCACCCCAAGCCTCCCCGCAAAGCTGTCCGTAAAAGCTCTGCCAGCCCCACACGGAGGGCCCACAGCCCAGGGAGCTGGAATAGACCCAAAGGGCTCAAGAGGCAGGACGCCATGCTTCCTCCCCGCTGGGTGGAAACCCCACTCTCCCCAGAGCCTCCGACCAGAGCCTGCGAGACAGTCAGCCACGTCCATCTCCCACTCCGGCCTCGTGGCACCTGCCCTTGGAGACACATCTCCGACCTCCGCCGGAGGCACCAGCCCAGCACTCCCAGCGCCCGTGGGCGGCAGACGGGACAGACCCACCCAGCCCTGGACAGGGAGGGGCCCTGGCGCAGGTTCCGGCCCCCACAGCCCGCACGCGTTGCAGTGGGCGCGTCCCAGCTGTGGATGGGCCCGTCGGGAGGGACGCCAGCCTTACCTTGCGGGCCATACCCCTGCTGCCACGTGGGCGGGGGCTGACCTGCCCAGCCGTTGGCGGCACTGGGCACGACCCGGCTGCCCCACTGGCTGGCCCCCGGCTGGCCTGGCGCTTGGCTTTTGCTGTCCCGTGGCTCGGCCCGTTTAACTTCCACCTAGACAAATCGAGCTCTGGTTTAGGGAGATGCTGAGGGTCTCAGACCCCCTTCCCTTCAGACACACCCTCAGATAACTTACAACTACACTTAGCATCTTATTATGACTTAAAACTAAATACTTAACTATAAACCTTATTTAGGCCAGTAACTTTTTTTCTTAAAAAAGTTTTTAAAATTCTTTCGTCTAAAAAATGTTTCTCAGGTACAACAGATCCAACTGTAAGTCACATGAAGCCCCACCCACTGCAGAGCAGGGCTGAGGGCCAAGAGTCCGCAGAGAGTTCTGTGCGTGACAGGGGCCTTTCAGTCAAGTTAAGGGGCAGTGTCAACCCAGGGTCACGCAGGTCCGGCTCAGGCCAACCATCGTGGCCCTCCTCTTGGCCCCGCCGGCCAGCTGTGCAGGCCCTCTCCAAAGCCCCCGCCCTGCCTTCGCCCTTCAGCTCATACCTGAGAAACACAGTTGGTTTACTTAGGTTTTTTATTTAAAATGTCTAATGGAAGATAAAGACTTACCTTCCCCAGGCTAACGCTTAAAGAATCTCAATTAACTCAAAATAATGTCAGAGGGAATGGATGTGATAAGAGAATCTTACATTACATCTAACAAAAAAAGTAAACAAACATGCAATAAAATGGACATTTGAATCAGTAAGCAATCTTCATACTGTGTTAGGTCAGCAGCCCAGGACCCTTCCGCTTTTGGACGTGCCAGGAGCCACAGCATGTGGAGGGTGGGACAAGGGGACCGAGGTACCCATCCCACCAGGCCTAGCCCCGCCTACACAGCCTTTCCAATGTGGGCCGACTGACAGCAAAGACCCCCGATTCCAGGGCTGCGTTAGCATTCTAGAATCCCCAGTTATTCTTGTTTGTAGGATAAATTTTAGCAAGGAGAAAGAGACAATGAATTCACTTGGAGTTGTCCTTGGGGTCTCACAGCCTGGTGCGCCAAGCATCCTGTATTCAGAATCCCATCAATTCTGCCTAAAGGCATTCCTGGGAGAGGACAGAGGCGGGGGACAGAGGCACAAAGACCCCACCTTCCGATGCCCCGAGGATGCTCCATGGACAGGAACAAAATCCCCAGTAGCTCAGGGCGGTGCGAAAGCAGGACCAGAGGACCCATTTCAAAGAACTCAAATTAATGAGTCTTCACACTTTCCTTAAGGGAATTTGGTTCCTGCTTACAAAGCAAAGCAGCCCTGTGATTTAAGAAGTATATATATTCTTTTAGTCTTCCTATTCTGCCCTTAGCTTTTAATTACAAGTGGGCCCCAGCCCTTCGAGACAGGGCTGGAGCTGGACTCTGCCCCTGGGAGCAGATCCGTGCACTGAGCGGGCCTCTCTGTCCCTGAAGGAGGACCTCACTTCTCCCCAGTTGTAAACGCCACAGGACCTTAAAACATGGGACACAGGCTCTTCTGAACGTGTGTTCATAACAGCGCACACCCTTGGAATCTGCAAGCTAACCTTAAACTAGAAGCATCAATGAACGTCTCAAACTGAGAGCATGACTGTGTCTCCTGCACAGTCAGGTTCGCGTGGAACTGAGTCAGCCGCCCATCTGTAAAGCGAAGGGGCGGGGGGGGGGGGGTACCCCTGGGGCCAGACTCCCTCCACATCTCAGCCGACGCAGGGCTCCGGCAGAAGGGCTGGGCTTGCCGAGGGGACGAGGACAAGCCGAGGGCCTGGGAGGGGCGGCAGCCTGGGCGACTGCACAGCCCCCCACCAGCTACTCAGGTGAGAGCCGAGTTCTCAGCAAGCTCAGGGCCGGAAAATGAGGGGTCGGGCCACCTCCCGAGAGGCTCCCTCCGTGGCAGCAACACAGTATGAAGATGAAACACCAGAGGTCACTTGACTGCATGGAGTTAAGAACTATCAGGAGCATGTGGCCGGTACCGAGTTCACAGTAAGTGACCCAATTTGAAAACCAATCCTTCAGGATGTTTACGTTGCCTTCAGTTTTACACGGAACCTGTTCTCAAAGGTTCACGGCCCGGCACTTTACGGGCCGGCGTGGGACAGGAGGGGAGGGGAGGGGACACACATCTGAAGGAGTGGTCACTGAAACCAAGCCTGAGGCAACCCGTGACTTCACTGGACGCCAGCCTGCCCGCCCCGCCGGCCGCCCCCCAGGGGCTCTAGAGCCATGGGCTCCCAGAACCGGGTCCGACCCCCAGCTGGGGGTCCTGGGATGACTAGCCCGGCCCTCCTCCTGTCAAGGGATTTCCTCTCCAGTGAAATCCCTAGGTTGCCTAAGACTTAGTTTGGTCTTAAGGTAAAATAAAACTACAACTACACACTTTTTTGCCCATGATGTCGTGAAAATGCATGTTGACAGCCTGGTCCACTGATTGTTCGTCCTCGAAAGTAATAAATCCAAAACCTAGCCAACGACGAAGAGTGAATCAAGGTAGCAGGGTGTTGTGACACAAAACAGGATGATGAACAGTATTAGGGACGGGCCGAGGGATCGACCGAGGGTTTCAGCGAAGCAAGTGTGCGAGGCTGTGGGGCATGAGCGCGTCTCAGCCCAGACGCCGCCTCCTCCACAGAGATGACCTTGGAATCACAGGGGCGCATCTTAGCAGCAGCCCGGACAGCAGGGCGGTGAGGGCCCGGCTGGCGGGCAGCCCAGGTGTGTCGTGCGTGCGCTTCTGCTTTTCTGAAACCCAGGGCGCTCCCCCTCGGCTGGCAGTCGCTTTGCAGCTAGTGCTGGCAGCAGCCGCACATTGTTCTAGCGCCTTAACAGAGGTGCGCCTCTACCAGTTAGAGCCTCGCCAAGCTTGCCCAACGCTGTTGGGTAAGCCCGAGGAGTCCTGCCAAGGTAACGTACGTATGTATACAGGTGTCTATCTATACGTAGCTGCATAAATACACAGAGATACAGGCCACAGTGGGTTCCAGCAGGTCAAACACTGCTGTCGGCAGCAAGAGCAAGAGGCACCGTGTCATCAAAAGGACAATTTCAAAGGGAAAAACAATTTAGCGTTTCCCAAACACAAGAAAGTGCAGTATAAACGAAGTTTGCTGGTCTGGTGAGCGCGGCTGCCTGGCTAGCGTGGAGTGTCCAGCCCTCAGGCTGCTGCTCTGGCTCCCCAGGGCCCATCTGCGCTGAGCACTACAGGCCCCCCACGGCAGCCAGCTGCCGGAAGACCCCGAACAACAAAGGACAGGCCAGGGGAAGGGCCAGGGCCCAGAAGGGGCGGAAGATGGGTGTGGGGGGAGGGGCACGGAGCACCGCGGGAGGTGGACGCAGGGGGTGGGGGCAGCCCCTGGCGGCAGGGGAGGGAGCGCCCAGGAAGGAGGCCTCTGGAGCTGAGCAAAGAAGGATGCGGGAGCACAGCTGTGTGGACCGTGTGGAAAGACTCCTGGCAGAACTGTGGTGCGAGAAGGATGGAGGAGGGAAGGCAGCTCAGAATGGTAGGCGGCAGCCTCTCCGGGAGGCCCGTCCTCTCCGCACACGCGCCTGCCTGAGCGTGACACACGCACACAGGACCTGCACACGGCGTGGGGAGGAACTGTGAACAGACCGGAGGAGACAGGCTGCAGTGGCGGGCACGCGGGAGGGCATGAGGGAGCAAAGGCAGCGGCTGAGGTGTGTGGGGACTGAGCCCCGGGGCGGGGATGGGGAGCCTCAGATGGACCAAGGGACAGGGAGGGAGGGAGGGAGGGAGCGAGGGAGGGAGGCTTCGGAGAAGACTCAGGAAGGAGAGAAAGTAGGGACGAGCTCTCGGGGAGCCCGCTGACCAACTGCTGGCTCTGGCTCGGCTCCCACCCTCCACCCGCCTAGCACTGGGGGCCGCGCAGGGACTCGCCAAGCCCCACGGCGGAGGATGATGGCAGGAGCTACATGGGAACAGGGCCGAGGGGCGAGCCCCGAGCACTCTCCCACAGCCCCTCCTGCCCAGACCCCGCGCCGGCCGCCTGGCGCCCCCGGGCCCGGGCTGAGGACCACAGGCGGCCCACGGGGGGACTAAGAGCAGCCTCGGGACCCCCGCGTCCCAAGGCGTCCCAAGATCAGAGGCAAATGGTGGAACACAACATGGGTGATGAACGGCATGTGAGAAAGTGAACGTTTTCTCCAAGTGCAGGAGTGTCTGAAGCCACAGGGCTCGCGGTCCTTAGAGTGCAAGAGGCGGTGAGTCGTGGGGAAGGAGCCCCGGGGCAGGGCTTCTAGGGACGCGTCTGTCTGTCAAGAGGCGACATCACCGCTGAGGAAGCGGAACAGAAACACACTGAAACTTCGTTTACACCCCACTGGAGCAAAGCCCGCTCCCTCCTCTGACTGCGGGACTGGCCTGTACCTGTGTGATATAATTTAGCACCTGGAGAAGAGAAATCTAAAGAGATATCGTTAATCACAAACAATTCACAGAGAGAAAAGGAAAAACAACTTACTTAACATTACTGTACTTTACTATGAAACACTTAAGTATGTCACTAAGCATGTACGTCTACATTAAAATTAAGACTAAGACTTAACAGCTTAATCGACATGAAGTGAGGATACGTTACTTAATCATGGAGGAAGAGGAGGATGAGGTTCAAATGGCAAACTATTCTCCAGCATGGCGGGCGCATGCTGTGGGCGGCGCCGGCCACGCTTGGATGCCTCGAGGGGCTGGGCAGGGGCCGCGGGGCCTGGCGCACCTAGCTCACAAGGCTGGCCCAAAAGCGGTTCAGGAACCAAAACAGGGACAGAGGCAGGGACAAATAGCAGCAGCCAGGGGGAAAAAAAAAAAGAAAGAAAAACAAAGGGCATGGAAATTGGGCGCCCAGTGTCCCAGCCCCGCAAACCACAGTGGACGTGCAGGTGGCGGCGGGGGAGGCTGATGCGGGCGCGCTGGGGCAGCTCCTTGCCCTCCTCCCACCCGCCCCGCCGACTTAGGGGACTTACGGAAAAAAGAACAAGAAAAGAAAAAAAAGCATGGGATGGATCAAGGGAACTCCACGTTCAAGCCGAGCTGGGGCAGACCTAGCCTGACGACATGAAATGAGACTCCTGACTTCGCTGGAGTGAACTTAAAACAGGAGACGGTCGTAATTGAGCAAGTTCACAATTTAAAAGAAAGACTAATCTTTCAGGACACCCTTAAAAACATAAACCATGTTGAAATTCATGCCAAGTTGTAAAAACTTCAAAAGAACGAGCTTAAAAAAAAAAAAAAAAAAAAAAGGTTGTACCGCCTGCCCTTGGGAAGCAGACAGGCTGGGGCTGCGTGGGAAGGGACTTCAGTCTCCAAACCACCCTCTCCTGAGGCAAGGCTCGCTACAACCACCACCTAATTGTGAGATAGTTTGCCATCTGAGGGGAAGGCCAGGGACAAACTCCATCTCTTTTACCTCGAGGCCTCTGCTTTTCCGCGTCGTAGATCATGACCACTTCCGTGACCTGGAAGGGAGATGGGCGTCTGAGGGCCCAGGTCTGCAGGTGGCACAGGCACATCTGCCTACAACACTCCCGGCCCCCGCTGCCTGGGACTGCCTGCCGAGTGCAGGAAGTTCCGAGGCAAAAGGCCGGCTTCCTGGGCTCTGAGACCCATGGGGCAGAGAGCAGGCCGAGGGGTGCTCACGGGGCAGGGTAGGTGGCGGGTCACCAGGGGCCCAGGCCCCACGCTCCAGTGGGGAGACGAGAGCCAGGACCTCCCACCCGGGATCAGAGTCCCCAGCCTGGCTGGGCCACCACGTTCCCTTCCTCGTCCACTCCGCACAAGTTCCTGCCAGGTCCTGGGTACAAACAGGTACCACCAGGCAAGCACGCTGCAGCCGGGGCACGTGTGGCCGGTGGAAGCCTGGGGGGACTTCGTGTCTCTGCTTCGGATGAGGGGACAGCCTCCCAGCCCACTGGCCCCCTAAGCCCTGCCTGTGTCCTGTCTGCCCCGCTAGAACTCAGCTCCCCAAAGTTTTTTAGCCTCTTCCAGAAAACAAACCCACCCGCCCCCCATCCTAGGGGAGGGGGCGGAAGCCTCACCCAAGCCCAGCCCCTTCTTCCTGACACCATCTAGCGCTTTCCACCACAGTGGCTACAACCGACCCGAGGGCCTTCCAGGAGGTCAGTCTGCCCCATTTACAGTAAGTCCTCTCCTGGGATGGTAACTGGCCACGCAGGGAATGGATGGGGCTTTGGTCTGCTTTGTGCCAGGCTCAGCCTCCCCAGGACACAGGGCTGCGCCACTCCCGCCCTGACCGACCTGCTGCTGGCGCGGGGAGAACTCACCACTCCGAATTTCTTGAAGTATTCCCTGAGCTCTGTCTCACCACAATTGTGAGGAATTCCACCGACAAATATCTTATTTGATTTACTGTTATCACTCCTGGGTCCTTTCTGCTGTTTCAAGGAGGAGAAGATGGTTAGCTCACGTGGGGAAACTTCCTAACACTCCCCGCTATTGTGCACGGTGTGGCCTCTGAAGGTCAGACCAGAACCCCAGGAGCCCAGTGAGTCCAGAAAACCGCAACGGCCGCTGTACGAATGAACGCGTCCACCCGCCGACAGAGGATGGGGCGCCCCAAGCACGCCCACCCATGGCGCCTGCCAGCTCTGCGGTGTGGAACCCAGGGCTTTAGGAGAGGAGAACGAGTACCAGGGTGGCCTGCACAAACCAAACTGGCAGACCAGGCTCGCTTCCAGGGGCAGTGTGTAAGCTGGTGACGCACAGACGGTGGAAAGCTCTGGTAACTGAGGCTCAGTTGCCACCTCTTCCGCCTTCTGGCCTAGACCCCGCTCTCTGTGGACACCCCGCACTGCCACCCCCCAGACACCAGAAGCTGGGGACGCAGAGGCTGCACTTTTGGGCGTGGGGGCAGGGTGCCAGCGGCAGGGGCAGGCACAGAGGTGGGTACACATACGGCTGGCCTCCGCAGCCACGGGTTCTGTGTCCTTGGATTCCACCAACCGTGGATCAAAAATATTCAGAAAAAAAAATTCCACAAAGTTCCACAAAGCAAAACTTGAATTTGCCGCACACCAGCCAACTATTTACACTGTATCAGGTATCATGAGTCATCCAGAGATGGTTTAAAGTGCACAGGAGGACGTGCGTAGGTTACAGGCCATTTTACATAAGGGACTTAAGCGTCTGTGGATTCTGGTCACCTCGGGGGTCCTGGAAGCAGTCCCCGCAGATCCCACCGAGGGACGGCTGTGTAGATCACTGATGCTGACCACTGATGAATCTGGGCAGTGTTTTATTTAGGTGTTCACTGTACCACTCTTTTTCTGTATTTGATATTTCCTAACAGAAAGCGGGAAAAATACGCCCTTGGTCTGAGGCCCCTGATGGAAATGCAGGTGCCCAGGCCCCAGCCCCGCACAGCCCCCAGCAGGGCTTTCCTCGAGGACAGGGCACTCTGGGTGACGGCTGGCCTGGCGCCGGGGGGCACACGCGGCTCAGAGTCCCAAGGTGGGTTCTGAACTCAGCAGGCCTCCTCCCTGGAGAGGAGCAGTCAGCAGAGCACTGAGCGGTGGGGGGCCAGGAGCAGTCGGCGCGGATACAACGGAAGGTTCCTAACGACAGATGGCTGTGAGCCGTCGTTTGCAAGGTAGACTAATAAGAAACTTCTCGGCTACGAGATAAAAAACTTCCAACACCGAATCGACCCGAGCCGTTCTCAGCTGCTCAACCTCATGCTGGAAGCCCTCCTGTTGCTCAGTCTGAGTGAGCAAGGACCCAGGTCGGAGACACGGCTCCCCTCGCATCAGCGGCTGCGGGACACCCAGCAGGAGCCCCCAGCCCCTTACCCAGCCTTCCTTCGGCCGCGTCCTCTCCGGCTGCATCCCCCGAGGCGTACAGGGCTTTGGGTCGATCTGTTGGAAGTTTCAAAGGAGCAGTGGTGAACAGGAGGCTTGCTTCCCCCAGAGAGAAGGTGTGAGCAGCAGGGCCAGGGGCACAGGGCCCATCAGGTGGCCCGGGCCGCATCCTGGCCCAGCGCCCAGTCTAAGCTCAGAGCCTTAACCCTTCAAACCAACCCCACGGGAAAGCAGTCCTCGACACACACACACCACAGCTTGGGCACAGAGGCACGCCCAGGAACCACACACAACAAGACAGAGAGCTTTCTTCGGGGACCAGCACTCACGTTTCGGCCATCGAGGGTGTGTGGTCTGCTGGCCAGCACTGTGCCCACGCAGTTTGGGTCTTTGAATTTGACGAACCCAAAGCCTCGAGACTGGTTGGTTGTCTTGTCTTTCATGATCACGCAGTCCACAACCTCTCCATACTGGGAAAAGTAGCTGCGCAGTGTCTCTGCTCAAAGATCGAGACATACGCACATGCACAGCAGGGCATTAGGCAGGTCACACACTCCCAGCCCATCAGCCTGACCTGTAAAGTGTGCAGCTAGGAACCTTTAAACTGGCTGATCCACTGACATGGGGGCAGCGGAGAGGGTGAAGGACGGGGCGCCAGGGAAGGGAAGGTGCACCCCATCTCCGCGGGAAGAAAAAAGGCCACAGCTAAGTAGGCAGAGCCAGCGGATCCCTAGCCCTCCTGGCTCCACCTCCACACGCCAACAGCCTCTGCCTTCAGAGCTGGCCACCCTCCCCGACTGTGACCATGACCATGACCATGAAGCATCAGGACGAGATCAAGTTCCAAAGCCCACGATCATTCATCTCTGCCCCCATCAACTCCTGATCAAGTGCCCCTTCCCAGAAACCAAGACAATAAATAAGTCAGGAATTAAAGACAATTCACACAATCCAAAGACCGAGGTCCATTCGCACCTACCTTGGGTGGTGCTCCAGTCAAGACCGCCCACGAAGAGCTTCCTGCAATGCAACGAGAAAACATTCAGGGTCAAGAGGGTTCTGCCCTGGGAACTCCCCAGTGATCCAGTGGTTAGGACTCGGCGCTCACTGTCGTGGCCTGGGTTCAAGCCCTGGACAGGGAACTAAGATCCCGCAGGCTGCATGGCACAGCGCCCCCCGCAAAAAAAGACGGTTCTGCCCAAGGTGCCGACCATCTGGCCTACCCTAAGGTGGTAACCCGGGGCATGGCCGTGGCCCAGCCTCATCAGTCAAAGGCATGAAAGAGGCCTCCAAGATCTGCCCACGGGGCTGGAGTGAGTTAGAACATCCCAAGTCGCATGTACACGCTGACCTCAACCACAGTAAGAAAAGAGAGATCGACGGCACCCCCTACCGTGCCAGTTTGGGAGCAGGATCACGGGGCAGCTTCCCAACTGCTCAGCAAACACCAAAGGTTTCCAAGTCCAGAGCTGAGATCCCACGCAACAAACTCGGACGACAGCGGGGATGAGGGCTTTAGGACAAAGCTGGGATATGCAGCACGTGGTCACAAGTAAGGACCCACAAATCACTGGGGAGGTCCCTGGAGCTCAGACGTGGCAGGGTGGCCCGGGCTGTCCTTTTGGACAGGTGCCCTAGAATGTTTGAGAGGAAAACTTCCGGTGGTCTCCCTGCCTAGTGTCCACATAGTCCCGGGGCGGGTCCAGAACCCAGGAACCTTCCACTGCCCGCCACTTTCAGGCTGGCTGGGCCTAAGTGAACGGAGAGGTGCCCTGTGCTGCAGGCTCCCAACCCGATCCGGGGCAGGTGTGATAGGGCAGGCAGGGGACGGGGCTCTCCATCCCACCTGCTGCCATGGGGAAAGGAATGACACCGTCACCCTCGGAAGAGCACCCAGGCACTGTCCCCATCCACAGCCAACCCCACCTTGCTTGGCGTGAAGACAAAACAGCCCCCCGAGGCTGAGCGCGCTGAGCCTCCGAGCACCCGAAAACCGGCAGCTGGGATGCAAGGACAGACCCTTGCAGGGCAGTGGCCCTAGCCGCACTCAGGGGTCCCTCCCACTGCGGCTTTCTGCCTGGGGGAGAGAAACTCAGTGTGGAAGAAACAATTTCCCCACCCCAGACAGGTGGCCCCTGCCATCCTCAACATGCCCCCGTCCCCCGACACAGAGCGCGTTTCTGGATCGGGAGGCCAGCTCACACCCGGGCCTCGTGACCTTCCTGTCCTGTCCCCTACGCATCCCTGCGAGGTCAGACCAGGCTCCTCCTGCCTCCCAGAGACCCTGGGGAGTACAGCCCGCAGCTGTGCCCCACTGCCCCAGGGCCTGGCACCCAGGCAGGCAATGACCGAAGAGCCCTGAGGCTGGCAATGGACCGCCTCTGTGCCCAGGCGTTGGGCACAAGCACAAACGGGTTTGCTGTGGAAAAGCAGCTTGAAGAAACAAAGGAGCTGGAGCATTCTCAAAAAACCTGAGACAAACGCCAACTCACTTAGAGGAATACCCACCTCTGTTTAGCCTGCATGTGATCAGGACAGGAAGGTTGTCAGCCAGTCCCTCCAAGCAACCCAACCCCCATGCCGCTGAGGAGGAAGGAACTGGTCTGACCAGTCCAGGTTCCAGCCCTCGTTTAAATTTCAAAATCAGACGTTAAGGGGAAAAGAGAGAGAAAGGCCATCACCTGTGCAAATTGACAAAACCGGAATCTGCCCTGTGTATTAGATGATGATATGGTGTTGATATGTGCTTCCTGATTTTATCACTGTGCTGTATTTAGAAAACGTTTCTCTTCTTGGAAAACAGGACACACAGGAGCGTCCAGAGGCGCACAGGGCTGGAACGTGGCATGGAAAGCATGCAGCGGGGCCGGCGTGAGGAGATCGTGGCGACCGTGCCCCCGTTCCTGCCACTGCTCTGTGAGTCCCAAGTTATATAAACTAGGAGGCGAAAGCTGCTCACCCCTGAGAGGATGCCAGGAGCACAGCTGGCACAGGAGAGAGCTCTTTGTGACCGGAGACCCCATGCCAGCGCTGTGCTGGGTGCTTTATATATTTCCTTTCCTCCTGCTCCCTGTCTGCAGATGGAGGTTCCGGAAGGCCCAGGGAGACCTCGCTGACTCGCGGTGGCAGGGACTCGGGGGCTCTAGGCAGACTTGGCGCCATCGCCGGTATCACAGCCAACACACCTGCACAGGGCGCCGGGCTCTGCCCACCCTGCTGCCGTCGTGGGGTGGCCCAGACAGACTTGCTTGGCACCAGATGACCTCAGGCCTTTCTGGGCGTTTACACACAACTCAGCAGATGAAGGGTCAGCTGACCCTGCGTGGCAGCCTCTCTCCAGCCCTTCCCTGCTATGAAGGGTGCCAGAGTCATCACTCAGCTGAAGCTGGAAACTGGGGGGCCCTCCCACAGACCCCACCCTGCCCCCAGGGGACCTCCTGGCTCTGTCACACCCTTCCATCCCTGGAGACCGGAGAAGAGGTCTGCAGTCAGCGCTGGCTGCCGGGGTATGCACCCCAACTGCCGGGATGGGATCGCTGCCTTCCTCCAGGAAGGGGTTTGGCACAAGTGACCAGGTGCTGGGGTCTGGGAAACACTCACCCTCTTCCGGCTGCTGAATGGAAACCTGCTCTGGATGACTCCCCTGTCCTTGCTCTGGGTACTTTAGGGCAACTGTGTGGTATGTACACCAGAAAGTCAGGCTCCGGTGGCTTCCCCGGCCCAGGCTGCCCATGGCAGGCACCACATGCCGCGCCCAGGAGGACAGGGGGCCAAGGCCAGGACCCCTCACACGGTCCGGCAGGCGGCCCTCTCCTCGACAGCCTGTGTTCACGCCTTTCTGCAGCCAGGGAGCCACCCCACTTCCAGCCCTTCTGCTGTGACAGACTGGACACCCCAAAGACAGTGGTCGGGGCAGGGATCTCACTCCGCAGGCTGGGCTTCCCTCCACCGGCCGGTGAGATCACCTCTCACAAACTATGGGGCCGCACAACACATGGAAAGCCTGGGTTGACCTTCGCTGAGCACGTGGGAGGCGCGCCAGCTCCCAAAAGACACCACAGCCCACCAACCCCCGCTGGCCGGAGCCCCCCAGACAGCGACCTCCGCCGAAACACAGCCGCGCTCCCCTGCAGGGGTGCCCCCAATTCTAGCCTGGCCACCCTGGGAGTGACCTTGACCGAGTCCCCTGACCCTTCTAAGCCTCGGTGTGCCCTGCCAAGGGAGGAGTCAGAGCTGAAGCTACAGAGGTCCAGCGCAACCCAGGGCAGGGGTTCTGAGGAGGGGCCCCGCACAGAGGGCAGCACGCCACCAAGTCCAGGTGCTGGGCCCACTGCAACGGCCAGAACCAGAAGGGAGTCAAGCGGAGCAGCCCCCAGCATCACAGCCAACTGTACAGGCGTCCAAACAGCCCTGGGACACACGTCCTAACCCACGGAAGCGAGTGGCATGGACACACTGGGAACCAGGCCTCAAAGAGCAAATGCTCCCAAACAGGGGTCTCACCTGGACAATCCTGCCCCCAGGGGACACTGGACCACGTCTGGGGACATCTGTGGCTTCTGGCATCGAGGGGGTGGGGGCCAGGGATGCTGTTCCACACCCTGCAGAGCCCAAGACAGCTCCAAAATGCAAGAGAGAAGCCCCAGAGAAAAGGCCCTCCACCCCCACCCCTACAGGGCAGGACACCTCTTGCCCCACCACACAGCAGCCCCCCCAAAGGGTGCTCACGCCCACAGGCCTCAGGAAGCTCGGCCCTGCATGCTCCCGGTCTACACCCACGGGGCCAGCCAGAGCTCAACAGAAGGCTCTCTGCATTCAAAGCCTCCACAAGTAACCATTCCAGAAAGAGCCACGCCCATGAGGGACCCACAGGCTCCACCCCAGGACCCCTCCAGTGCTAAGTCACCTGAGCCCTCATGTGCCCCCCCCATCACCCACCTCCCGCGTTTCTGTCCTGAGCAGCCGTGCCCACACCTCTCTCCAGAGACCCAGTGCTGCTTTCCCTCCCCTCCCCCAGGTCCCTCCTCGCCCTGGGACCCTCCCCTCCCTTCAGTCACATCCAAGGGTCCCTGTCTCACCAGCCCGGGGGAACGCCAGCAGAACCACATCTGCCAGATAAAACCCCCCTCAAACTCCTCTCCGGCTCCATGACACATCAGCCCCCAGAACCTCAGTCCGGGGACCCCTCTTAAGCTGACTCTCCAAGGCCACGGAGGAGACCGGGACACAACCCTGACCGCTCCCCGGCCCTCAGCAAGGTGAGCACCTGTCCCGCTGGGCGGCCCAGGAGGGAGGACATCTGCTCGCCCGTGGCACCTGGCTCCACGAGGCCACACGTGACACCTGCTGCTCCTATTGGACCTCTGCCCTCAAGACCCGCCCCGGCTCTGCTCGGGCCACTGTGACAGCCAAGATGACGAAAACATGAACTAAAAGCAGTGGCCTCACCAGCCCCTGTACAGTCCAGACGCAGGGAAGCTTTGCCTTCAAAGGCTCAAACTCAAAAGTGCAGATCCCCGATGGGGCGGCACCCCAGGCATCCACCCACTTCCTGAGGACGCAGGTACCCTCGACAGTGGTGCCGCCCCTCTGGCCTGGGAGCCGCTCGGGAGGGGCTGACCAGACACCAAAGCGAAGGAGGTCTGAGGGGAGGGTGGTGTCGTCAGCGATCAGTGAGACTGTCACATCCCCATAACATAACTACCACATGGTCTGAGCATGACGCACGCTCCCACACGGTGACCACCCCAAGTGGGCAACGGTGGTCCCCCCCCACGGGAAACTCCAAGAGGGCCCATCACCAGGGAGCCGGATGAGGTCACGAGCACTGAACTAGAACAGCCACACAGATAAGGAAGTCAAGGTGGACCCGGACTTCCAACAGCAATTGGAAACAAGCCTCCCACAGCAAACAGAAACTGACCAATGCTTTGGGGCAAAGCAATAAAGTTTCTGGGACACCTGACATCTACAACTTTAGAACTCAGGTAACCTGGGTGCATTCACCAGGGTGGCGAGGGGAACGCGGCCAGGCAGGTCCCTGATCCTGATCCTGGTTCTGCTACTTGCTCTGCGGCCTCCCCAAGCTGCCTATGGGTCTGGGGTGGGTCTGCGGTGCCAAGGGTGAGACCCTTCAGACCCAGCCTTGGATCCTTGCTCCACCATCTCCCAGGGGTTGGTACAAGCTGTAGGGGTGAACCGCCAGGGACCCCTGTCTGGCCGTCTCCTCGAGGGCACACCGAGGGGCAGGCCTCTTGGATCTGGAGGCTCCCTGCCTTCCCAGGCGAGAGAAAAGGCAGCCCAGGCCTAAAGAAGTCAGCCTCTTGGCCGCAGAAGGCTTGGCTCTCAGGAAAAGAGGCCCATGTGGCTGTGGAAGACCTGCTGCCGCTCCCTCAGGTCCTGCCCCTTTCGCCGCAACTTTCTTGCTGCCCACATCCTAGTTTCCCAGCGGAAGCGCTGCAACTTTTCACTTACCCGACACACAGCTCAGACTTCCAGTGCCTGTACGTCTTTCCTAAACAAAGCAGGCTAGGAGCTACACGCCTTCTTTCTGGTCCTCTAAATGCTGTGGGGTTCTGGAGGGGGGAGCCCACAAAACACACTTTATGTCCTATGGTGTAACATGCTGCTGGAACCTGGCAGGGGCTCAGTGAGGCCAGCCACCCACCAGCCAACAATGACTTACTCACCAAATCAAGCGTTTTGTAAACACCACATCTGTTCAACACTAAGTGCACGGAGAAATGTACACAAGGCCTCGGAAACCCAGCCCAGGCTGTTTTGCCATCTCCGCAAAAAGAATTTAACTGTAAAATTACGCTGATGCTGTAGAAACCAGTCTCTGCAAAGAAAACTAGACCAAACCCCTAGACTAGGGCAGAATGGGATTTCCTAGCTCCTGTGGGATCACTCTCCTCTCCAGCTCGTTTAGCATTAGGCAAGATTATAATTAAAAGGGAAACTTAGCTATAACAAACCTTCTCTAACAGTTGCACCAAGGAGAAAGACCTCAGGAGCAAGCCTGTCTGTCCACCTCCCAAGTTTCTCTTTCTCTTTATCTTAAACCCGCCCATGGGGGTTAGGTGGGGGCTGAGCAGGAAGGGGCTCCAGCAACATAAAAACAACAGTTGCAGACACCCCATCAGGTGGCGCGGAGGCGCTGAGATGGTGGACACTGCGGGGTGCGCTGCTTGCAGACCGGGGACGGCCCCCCATGACCTTGGCCCTCGGGCCTTCGGTTTGCGAAACTACACTTGGGAGGAGAGTAGATGGTGGAGTGGGCACTCGCTGAGTCCCGAGTGGGATAAGCTGGGCGGCGGCAGAACTGGAACCCCCCCCCACCGACCGGGCCGCCACGTGCGCTGACCCGCCAAGTTCGTGCACGGGCTGGGGGCTCCCTGGACCCCACAGGTTCCTGTTCGAGGTCCCCGAGGAAAACCACGAGCACGGGGACGGTTCCGCCCGCCCCCCCCCCCCCCCAGCGAGAAATCCAGGCGCGGGGGCAGACAGGGTGCCCCGGACCCCCCCCACCCCGGGTTCCCGATAGAAGGTCTCCCTGCGGTAAACTCCGGCTCGGCGGCGGGGTCTCCCCCAGTCAGGAAACAGCAGGGACCCCCAGGTGAGGCTCGGGGTTCCTGGCCAGGAAGCGACGGGGCGTCCGGACCTCCAGGACCCCCCGGATCCCCCGGTGGAGGTTCGGGATCCCCTACCACGAGGCGGTGGGACACCCGGACCTCCAGGACTCCCCGGATCCCCCCGTTGAGGCTCGGGGTCCCCGGCCACGAGACGGCGAGGCGCCCGGACCCACAGAACTCCCCGGACCCCCGGTTCCCGCTCGGGGTCCCCGGCCACGAGGCGGCGGGGCGTCCGGACCCCCAGGTCCCCCCAGGGGCCCCCGGCCCATCGCGCCCCCGGGCTCCCGGCCGCCGGCTCGGCACGGCCCCGCGGCGTGACCTTGACGGGCCGGGCGGGTCTGGGCGGGGGCCGGCCGAGGCGGCGGCGCGGGCCGGCGCGTCCTCACCCGATCTCGTCGGCGCCCGAGTTGTTCATGGCGGCGGCGGCGAAGGCGCTCGGCGTCCGGGCCCCCTGGCTCGCTCCCGCCTCCGGAAGGTCACTGGCCCCGGCGCCCTCCCCACAGCCGCGGCCCGGATCTGCGCAACGGCGGCGGCCGCGCTGCCTCCTCCCCTCAGCGCCAACGGTCACCGCGCGTCCCCGCGCCCGCGCCGCCGCCCTGCGCTCGCCCGGGCGCGCTCCCGCACGGGGCCTCCGGGGGCGGAGCCAGGGGTGCGCCCCGTGTGCGTGCGTGCGTGCGTGCGGCGGGGCCCGCGCCGCCGCCGCTTGGCCGCCGCGCGTCGGCCTTCCTCCTCGGCGACTACAAGCGCCGCCGCGGGGCACGTTGGGAAGTGGAGTCCCGCGCGCCGGCGCCGGCCCCGCCCCGAGGAGGAGAGCGCTCGGATCGAGCCGCGTGCGTGCGCGCGCTGCGAGCGTGCGTGCGTGCGCGGCGGCGCGGGGCGCGTGCGCGGCCGGGCGCTCGGGGCTAGGCACCGCGGGGCGCAGGCGCGGCTGCGGCTTCCTTGTTCAGTCTCGAGTGCGGGGCGGGGCCACGCATGGGGTCAGCCGTGGGAAGAGGCCACGCCCGCACCCCGCCGGGCCGCGGGACGCTTCGGCGCCACGTTCAGTTCCTGCGCCTCGACTGCTCCCGCTGCCCCCAGAAGACGATACCGACGGTCAGAGAGGCTCATTCACCTGCCCAAGGTCACTTAAGGAAAGAACTGGAATCAAATCCAACAGTTGACTGTAGATGCAATGATTATGAAAACACATTGAGTCCCTGCCATGTGCCAAGGATTGTCCTGCCCTCATTTGTCCACACCGGTGGTTTTCACCCAGGGTGATTCAGCCTCCTTCTCCCCTCGGGGGACAATGAGCCATGTCTGGAGATACGGTTTTGGTTGTCACCACCGGAGGTGGGTGCTACTGGCATCTAGTGGGTGGAGGCTGGGGATGCTGCTAAATATCCTACAATGGGCAGGACGGTCCCTCCAGCAAAGAATAATCTGCCCAACACGTCAACAAGGAAGGTGGAGAAACCCAGGTCTACACGGACCATAATAAAAGCTGACCTGAATGATGTTGTCAGATGGTGGTTTGTGCTGCGTGGTGACTTTCCACTCACTTTCTCAGCCTCTTGGTGGCCTGACAATATAACTGATTCACCATAAAATGAAACAAATGTGAGGAATCAAGGAACCAGGTCACAGGCAAACAGTATAACATAAAACATTTAAAATACACCTCACTTTGGCCACTTTACAGTTTGCAAAGCACATTGGCATCATCAGATCCACCGGAGGAGAGTAACTTATTAGTCCCCATTCACAGGTGAGAAGCAGAGGCTCAGCAGAGGGGAAAGGAGTGGCCTCAGGTGGCATTGGGCAGGTGTTCTGTCTTCCCCCTGGGGGCTCTGTGAAGTTTCTCTGGTCAGAAGAAAGCAGTAACACTTGCGGGGGGTGGGGGGGCTGGCTCCCCACTGGGGGGGGCGGGGGAGCACGGCCCTAGTGCTCAGTCAGACAGACACGCCCTAGGTTGCTCACACTTCACTATTAGAAGAGCAGAAAATTGGAAGCAACCCCCATGTCCATCCACTGGTGACAGGATAAATAAACCACGAAGGGCGTGAATGACATGCACAGGACGTGGTCAAATGAAGGAAGGCAGACACAAACTGTTAAAAAGAAAATACTTTTAGGGCTTCCTGGTGGCGCAGCGGTTGAGAGTCCGTCTGCCGATGCAGGGTACACGGGTTCGTGCCCCAAGTCCGGTAAGATCCCACATGCCGCGGAGCGGCTGGGCCCGTGAGCCATGGCCGCTGAGCCTGCGCGTCTGGAGCCCGTGCTCCGCAACGGGAGAGGCCACAACAGTGAGAGGCCCGCGTACCGCAAAAAAAAAAGAAAGAAAGAAAATACTTTCAAAAATACAGACACCTACCAGGGCTAAAACAAGAAGCAGCTATGTACCTGCCACTGAAACGAACACATGTTATTAGCGTTTTTGTCACGTTTGCTTCAGATCTTTTTAAAAAAATGAACTTGACGGTTTGCTTTTCCCTCCTCCCCGTTCACTTCCTTCCTCCCACCCCAGGGCAAACGGTGGGACAAAAACGGGTATGTGCACACTTTCCTGAATTTACTCCTAACGTGGGTTCAGGCATACCCAATACACAGAATATAGTTTTGGCTCTTTTTTTCATTGTGGTAAAATACACGTAACATACAAGTTATCGTATCCCTTTATAAATGCACAGCTTGGTGACATTAAGCACATTCACATTGCTGTGCAACCATCCCCACCATCATCTCCAGAACTTTCTCATCTTCCCAAACTGAAACTTGGGAAGTTTCAGTTTGACTCCCCAGCCCCTCCCCCAGCCCCTGGCCCCCACCATCTACTTCCTGCCTCTGTGGATGTGACTCCTCCAGGGACCCCCTGTGAGTGGAATCAGACAGTATTTGTCATTTTTCATCTAGCTTATTTCACTGAGCATCGTGTTTTCAAGGTCCATGCACGTTGTAGCGAGTATCAGTGCTTCACCCCTTTTCATGGCTGAGTGATGGTCCCCTGCGTGGAGGGACCACATAGCATTTATTCATCATCTGTTGGTAGACACTTTGGTTGTTTCTACCCTTTGACTATTGTGCATAATACTGCTAAGAACGTGGATGTACAAATAAATGCCCATTTGGTCCCTTTTACTTTAAAACATAACTACATGTAACACTGTATACACAGAAAACATACAGCTACATGGACATTGCCTGGTAGAGGGGAGACCTGGGCAGAGGGTAGGGATCATGGGGACCTTGTTCTGTCATAGCTGCCATGTGACTTGTAATTATGTCATGTACTTATTACTTATTCTTGTCCATCCCCCCAGTAGGCTATGAGCTCCAGAGGAGTCAGGGCTGGGCCCCCTGAGGTGAGGAATTCAGTATGTGCTGAATAAATGGGTGACTTTCACTTCCCAGGAAAGAGCTGCAGGCTGCTCTGTAAGGGGGGCTGACAAGCTTTCTGCTCAGGGCCACACAGTAAATATGTTTGGCTTTGCCAGCCTTCAGGTCTCTGTGGCAATGACTCTGTGCTGTTGTAAATTGGAAAGTGCCAGAGTCCATATGTAAACAAGTGGTCCTGACTATAAACTTTATTTACAGACATGCCAGTGTGACTGTTGTATAATTTTCACGTGTCTGGAAATAGTCTTTTGATTTTTTTCAACCATTTAAAAATGTAAAAAGCAGGACTTCCCTGGTGGCCCAGTGGTTGACTTCCTGCTTCCCCTGCAGGAGACATGGGTTCAATCCCTGGTCAGGGAACTAAGATCCCACAAGCCTCGCAGCATGGCCAATAAATAAATAAATAAATAAAAATGTAAAAAACATTCTTAGCTCACAGGCTGTATCAAAACCGCAGAAGGGGATGTGACCTGCAGGCCAGAGTTTGCCAACTCTATAATGTTAGAATGTTTTGATCAACTGTGTCCCTTTTCTAATCAGAAAATAAATATTTTCCTTCTTTTAAAACATCTTTTAAGACTGTGGTCTGGAGTCAGGCACACCCCTGTTCCCATCCCCTCTGCCACTGATTTGCTGTGTGTCCTTGAGAAAGCCACCTTCCCTCTCTGAGTCCGGGTCTGCAAACTGCAGATAACAGCAGCACACGCACGCTAGACTCTCTTGAGAAAAGTGGACACAATGAATGACCACGTGTCGGTAATTCATTTGAAGACATCAGCTGGGCAAGAGTGGTCACTCCATTGAGAGAAGAGGACCCCAGCCAAGGCTGGAACAGAGACCCCTTAGCTGAGTCGCCAGCCAGATTGTGCCATGCCATCAGCCACTCTTGGAGATAGAGTCCAGGCTGCATGTAGGTGACCACTGGGAGGTGGCAGCTTGGCCAGACACGGGCGGTTCCTTATTTCCTGGGCACCAAAGCTGCAGGAAAGGATCCCAGTTGACCACCGCCTCGGCTTCCTCTTAGTGTCTGTGTGGGCAGTAGCCTCTGAGACTGACCCCTACTTCTTGATATTCATAGCCTCCTGGGATTCCCTACCCTTGTGTACCTGGCTTCTAACCTGTAGGATAATACGGCCAGGGTGAGGGGATGTCCTTCTGTGATCAGATGGCAAACAGTTCTGACTTCCGTCTTGCTAGAAGCAAGTTGTCACTTCAGGGAGCCCCACATGGCCAGAGACTGAATGGAGTCAACAGCCAGTGAACAAGCCTGGAAGCAGATGCCTTCCCCAGCTCTGGGCGACACCTTGACTGCAGCCTTGCCAGAGGTTGTGAAACACAGGACCCGGCTAGGCTAAGCTGCACCTGGATTCCTGACCCACCGAAAAATGATAAACATGTGTTGCTTTAAGTGGCTACATTTGGGGCAATTTGTTACATAGCAGTAGCTAATGAATACAGCCTGCCTTCTGTCTCCGGCCGGGCATTCCAGGGCATTGTTTGAGTTGGGTGCCAGTAGTGAGTGCCACCTGTTTACGTGGGTGGCCCAACGATACTGGCATAAGGATGCCTGCAAAGCCCCCGCCACAGTAACCAGGACAGCTGTAAGGAAACTAGACAACACAAATTCACACGGGCTCACGAATTCAGCGTGAGCCCAGCCCTGGTGCCTGGTGACATCTACTCATCCTGCCTCCGCCTGAGGGTCTCATGGAATCCGTGCTGTCCCATCCAGACCACATTAGACCCAATGTGCCCTCAGGAGTCATCAAGCATTTTCTGTGTGCCAGACGGGTCGGACAGACGATATAACCATGAAGAAATACCTTCGCTGAGTGAAATACCAAAGAGAGGTACTGAGAGATGAAACAGCTTCAAATGGGCCATAAGCAGCCTGGGGGGACCCGGGGGGCCTCCCAGAGGAGGTGTGGGCTCGGGCATGAAGCAGAAAGAGAAGTAGACCAGGCCAGGGGAGAGGGGAAGCTGTCCAGGCAGAGGGGAGAGCGTGTGCAAAGGCCCAGGGGCAGCAGGGACACAGGAGCTCTGCAGGGAGTGGGAAGGGCCACGGGGAGGACTCTGGAGCCACGTTAAGGCTGTGAGCAGCCATCCAGAGGTGGACACAGAAGGGCAGGGCTGCCTGGGTTCAAACTCTGTGACCTCAGCCTCTCGGGGCCTCAGTTTCCCCACGTGTTCACTGGGATGTGCAAAACACTTGGCCCAGATGGGGTGTTCCAGGCTCACAGCCGGTGGCCCCCTATGTGCAGATAGATGGGAAGGGGAAGTCATGTTTCAGAACCTAGAGGAAACCCCAGCTTACCTTGGGGCCTGGTCTCAGCGTGGCCCGCAGAGGACACAGCTGACCCCCAGGGCTGCCCTGAGGCAAGGCTTTAAGGGTGGGCGCTGCAGGGCTGCCCCGCCTGCCGTCATGGGCTGGAGGGCCCGGGGACCGCTGGGGTGGGCATTTCAGTCCCAGCACTGGAGGCTCCTGTGCGCTAAGCCCCTCATCAGGCCCCTGGGGTCTGAGGTGACCTGGGAGAGTGAGGTGAGCTCAGGAAAGGGGAGAGGCAGCCCCGCACAGGAGTCAGAGTGGGGTTCATCAGGGGTTCCCACACCCCACCCTCCCGGCCATGAGATTACCCGTTTTGCCTCTGGAGCCTCAGTTTCCCCACCTGTAAAATAAGGACGATAGAAGAAACCACTGCAGCGCCTCTGAAGATTAAGTGATTGTATTTATTTATTCTATTTATTTTGGCCGCGCCATGCAGCTTGTGGCATCTTAGATGCCGCACCCGCGTCCTGGGCGGTAAAAGCGCAGCGTCCTAACCACTGGACCGCCAGGGAATTCCCTAAGTGATTTTACATACTTAAGGCATTTCCAACCGTGTCTGGAAAACCCTTAGACCCTCACACCCCGGCAAGGAGGGAGCTATTGACGCGGTGGTGACAGACGAGGAAACCGAGACAGGAAAGCGACTGGGCGAGGACTCCGAGAGCTCGCTGCTCTGGTGCCGAGTCCGCCCGCCAGGCGCTGGCGGCCCGGGAGGCGGGGGCGTCGCGGGGGTCCGGGAGTCAGTGGGGGCCACCTTCCCCGCCGCGGCCGCTAGGGGCCGCGCGGGCCACTGGGCAGTGCAGTCGCGCCCCGCCCCCGCCCCGCCTCCCGTCCGCCCCCTGCCCAGAAGGCCCTGCAGGGACGCGGCCGTTCCCCTCCCCAGCTCCCGGGGCGCGCCGTCCAGCCCGCAGCATGAGCGCTCCCGCCGCGACCCCTATCTTCGCACCCGGAGAGAACTGCAGCGCCGCGTGGCGGGCGGCGCCCGCGGCTTACGACGCGTCGGACACGCACCTGCAGATCCTGGGCAAGCCGGTGATGGAGCGCTGGGAGACCCCGTACATGCACGCGCTGGCGGCCGCCGCCGCCTCCAGAGGTAGCCCCCGCCGGGCGCGCGGGGTCGACCGAGGCCGGGGCCGCTGGGACCCGGCGCCTGCCCGCTCTCCAGCGACGTGGCGGAACCTCTGCGCTCCTCTCTTTCCTCGCCTGGAAAACGGGGCCGCTCGCGAGGGCAGCGGGGTAGTCCTGGGGCGCTGCGGGCGCCCTGAGTTCCGGGAACCCTCTCTCCGGGGAGCACCGAGGCCCCGACCCCAGGAAGGGGTCGGGGTGGGCCGGGGGGATGGGTTCTCAGCTGCGGAACTCAGCCGCCGGACCCCACCCGAGGTCGAGGACAGGGGAGTGGCGGCCTGGCGAGGTGCTGCCCAGGCCCACGTGGGTAATGCTCCTGCCCAGGAGTCGCGGGAGGCCCTGCCCTGGCTAAGAATAGCTCTGGTAACGCTGAGGCCTGGAGACAGCTGTCGGGGGTGGCCCTGCACCTGGTGTCAGAGCCCGCGGGGTGCCGAGGGCTCCCCACGACCCCCAGAGGCCGGGTGCACCAGCTCTGGGCCTGTGTTCCCATCTGGCAAATGGACACAGCCAGTGTCCCTGCATGGTTAGGGCGTTTCTCCCCTCCTCTTTGACCCAAAGGGGCTCGACCCCCGCCCCTCACTGTTCCAGGCCTGGGCCTTGAATCCTGGTCCTCCCTTGCCCTTACTTAGTAGACTTCATTGTTGTGGGGGGGGGCAGGGGACGCTGCCCAAATCAGGAGATAAGCGCCCTCAGTGCAAACAGCATGGGCCGGGGCTCAAAGTCCAGGGTCTGCCCTGCCCCGTGGGCCAGACCAGAAGCCGCTGTCCGTGGCCTCCCCGGCAGGCCACCCTCTCTGGCTACTGGCCCCGGGCCCACGCTGTTCCCTCTCAGGGCTGCTGTGTTCTGTCCCACCCCCCACCTTTGCTCTGCAACCTGTCGCTCCTAGTAGCAGTCGTTTCTCTCTGCCAAGGCCCTGCCCCCGCGCCCCCTCCTCCAGGTAGCCTCCCCAGCCCCACCCAGTGTGTAAGGCGTGGGCTCTCTGTCTGCCCAGGGGGCCGGGTGTTGGAGGTGGGCTTTGGCATGGCCATCGCAGCTACGAAGGTGCAGGAGGCCCCCATCGACGAGCACTGGGTCATCGAGTGCAATGAGGGCGTCTTCCAGCGGCTCCAGGACTGGGCCCCGCGGCAGCCACACAAGGTGCCCGCCTCTGCCCGAGGTCCCGCTCCTCACGCTCCTTAGGGGGAAGACCCTGCCCACGGAGTGGGCTGGGGACCTGGGGTGGCCGCAGACTTGGGGGAGGTGGTCTTCTCTCTTGGGAGTTCCTCTGCCCTCTCCCTTGCAACAGGTGGAGAAGTCCTGGGCCCCCTTTGACCCTCAGCCTTATCTTTCTTTCTCCCCTGCACCAAGGTGGTTCCCCTGAAAGGCCTGTGGGAGGAGGTGGCGCCCACCCTGCCAGACAGTCACTTCGATGGTGAGGGGCTCTGGGCACTGGGCGGGGGGCCTCTGCCTGGTTTGCCAGCCCCTCCTTTGCCTGCTTCTGAGGCACACATGCCCTTGATGTGTCACTGGGGTGGCAGAGCCCGGGGGGCAGGCACAGACACACATACAGGAGCCTGGCACTCAGGTGCGTGGACATCTCAAGAACGACCGGATGGGGCACAATTCGTAGGGGCAGCTGCAGCATAGCGAACTCTGGGTTCCCGGCCGCCTCAACTTGCAGCCAGTGTCCTGACCACGTGGCTTCTGTCCTCCCGAGCAGGGATCCTGTACGACACGTACCCGCTGTCTGAGGAGACCTGGCACACGCACCAGTTCAACTTCATTCGGGTAGGATCGCTTACGGTGGGACGGGGTCTGCCAGCCCTAAGGTGGGGGTCAGCCCAGTGGGTGCGCCTGCTGTCCCCACAGGAGGCACCTCTCCTTCCGGCGTTCCTCTGACCTGGCGGGAGGCCCGCTGGGAACGCCTCTGCCCATCCCCACCCCCTCCTGACCACTGTCCCCCCAACCCCGGCCAGGACCATGCCTTCCGCCTGCTGAAGCCAGGGGGCGTCCTTACCTACTGCAACCTCACCTCCTGGGGGAAGCTGATGAAGTCCAAGTACTCGGACATCACCACCATGTTCGAGGTGCTGCAGCCTGGGCACTCCCTGCTCCGCCCCACGCCCCACCCCTGGCAGCGACTTTGGGTGGGGAGGCAGATGGGGTCACCCGAGACCTGGGGAGGGCCCCTTGCCTCTGGCCCTGGGGGCTCATCTCTTGGGTGGACTCTGAGCCTCCACTTGTAAGTCAGGAGAGGTTTCTCCCTAGCTCAAGGGCCTTAGATGGCTCCCAAGTGCCCTCAGGATACAGGGATTCAGCCCAAGGTCCCCAGCGGCATCCCCGCACTCTGCCCTTGTCCACTCAGGGTGCATCTTTATGGGTCTAACCACCCCTTGTCTTGGGCCTTTGCCCACTCGGTTCCCTCTGCCTGCGAGGACGTGTGGGTGAGCAGCCTGGTGATACCCCATGACAGCCAGGAAGCTGTGTGTGGACACCTGGAGATTCCCACCCAGACCTGGGCTTCAGCATTTTCTTAGCAGCCCCGCCCTGCCCCCAAGGGCCTTGGCACTTGTAGGGGTGGCTGGCAGGGTGCCTCCTGAGGCCCCAGGGCCCTGGAGGTGACTCGGCACCTCCCTCTGGCCAGGAGACACAGGTGCCAGCCCTGCTGGAAGCAGGCTTCCGGCCGGAGAACATCCACACACAGGTCATGGAGCTGGTCCCACCGGCCGACTGCCGCTATTACGCCTTCCCGCAGATGATCACGCCCCTGGTCACCAAGCACTGAGCCCACTGGGCCCACCGGCTCAGCTGCCCACGCCACCCTGGGGGCTCTGGGCTTCAGGAACCCCTAACCCCCAGACCCCTACTGAGCGCCTTCGTGGCCGGGAGTGCAGGCTCTGGCCCCTCAGCCCTGGTCCAGACCCACACCAGCCACATGACATCAACAAGCTTCCCTAACCTTCTCTGCAAGGGGACGGCCACTACCTTCCTACCATGGTCCTGAGAATGAAATAAACACTAACACTGGGTTTAGCCAATCAGCACGAGGACACAAACGTGTGCTTGCTTTACTCTTCCTGCCCCTCCAAAAAAAAGTGAAAGGAAAGAAACCTGTTAAATTGACCACCACCAAGGCAGTGGCTCTACCACTCCAGTTTCTGATCCTGCCTCTGAGCCCCCCGCTGTGCCCACTGAAGACATTGCCAATTAGTCACCCATGGCCCCTCCCGCCCGCCCTCTGGTGGGCAGCTGAGGTCCCCAGAGGAGGTGGAACTAGGTCAGGACCTCATAGCAGGTGGCAGCCCCAAGGCCCAGACCCTCTGGTCCCACCCGGTCAGGCTGCACCACGATGCCTCGCTCTGAGTCGACGCCCCTCCAGCCCCAGCACAGGGACACCATGGATCTGTCTGCCCTGGACCCTGGTGCCCAGCTGGTCGCCGCGGTGTCGTCTGCTTCACCCCGACCCGCTCTTGGACGTGTCCACTCCCCTCCTTCGTGGGTGGGGCCTCCCACTGGGCCACGCTGGGCCCGGCTGTCCACTCCAGGGGCCTCGGCATCTCCACGCACAAGAGACAGGCCTGACCCCGCCCACCTCCCAGGCCCCCACCCCGGCCCCCACACCACGTGGAGCAGGGCAGCCAGGCGGATTTATGGGCTTTATTGACCGCCTCTGGGGGAAGAGCGCAGACGCCGCAGGGCGGCCAGGCAGCGGCACTACCTGCGGTACCAGATCTGGAGCCTCTTCTCGCGCTTGATCTTCTTCTGCAGCTGCAGGATGCCATAGAGCAGGGCCTCGGCTGTGGGCGGGCAGCCTGGGGGGCGGGTGGCACCTCAGTCTTCCTGCCCTTCCCCTCCCCTCCGCTCTGCTCCAGGTGGGGGCAACCAGGCCACTTCCCAGGATGGGGAGGGGCAAGACAGGGCTCTGCACCAAGAGAGCTGGGGGGCTTGGCCCATCACGGGAAAGGAGCCAGAGGGGGGCAGGGTGGGCAGCTGCTGACCCCAGGGCCGACCTCCCAGCCAGGATGAGGGAGGCCTGGGCTACCCCTCCCAGGCCGAGCTGCCCTGGCCCTGGCCCTCCCGCCACGTGACCCGGCTCAGTACCCGGGAGGACAATGTGGGCTGCCTGCCAACCCCCAGGCCACGCCAGCGTCCGGTGAGGACCCTTGGAAAGGAATGGGGGCAGACTCTTCAGACTGGGAGACCCTCCAGAGACAGCGAGGGGGAAAGGCTGCGGTGTCACTCTTATTCTTGGACCCAAATCTGCTTATTCTTAAAAGGGGGCAAGCTGTCTCAGTGGGGCTGTGGGGATTCTGTGAATCGGGTGAGGGCCGCGTGGACGCCACCTGGGGGCTCACCTGGGACGTAGATGTCCACGGGCACAATACGGTCGCAGCCTCGCACCACAGAGTAGGAGTAGTGGTAGTAGCCACCTCCGTTGGCACAGCTGGTGGGGAGGGGAGCGCCAGCCGTGAGAGTCTCTCCAGCGACCCCGGCCTCCATCCCTCCTCACAGCCCCCAACCCGCACCCCCTTCCAACCTCAAGCAGGTGCCAGGCGGTCAGGAAAAGGGCAAGACTGGGACACAAGTCACAGGAAAGACAGCGGCCACCTGAGACCTTCCGTGGGACCGGGTAGGACAGAAACAAACGGTGGGACTATGAACAGACGACCCTCAGTGAGAGAAGCCAGATGTGAAAGGACACAGCGTGTGATTCCATTGATGGGAAACGTCCAGAACAGGCCAGTCCACAGACAGAGAGTGGGTTCCTGGTTGTCAGGGGCTGGGGGAGGGGGTGGGGAGTGACTGCTGATGGGGACAGGGCTTCTATTGGGGTGATGGAATGCTCTGGAATTAGATAGAGGTGATGCTTACACAACACTAAGAATGCATTAAAATCCACAAAATTGTACGTTTTGAAAGGGTGAACTTTGTAGTATGTGAATTCTGCCTCAACCAAAAAAGTCAGGTGACTAAATGGCTTTTAATGATATGGAGAAATGAGGTGCTGGCTAGACGGTGAGGAGGCTGCAACGCCCCCCCGAGCAGGACGTCCTTCCTGTGGTCATAACACAGAGAAACAGAATGAAACTGGACAGGCTGTTGGGGTGGGGGAGCGACTGTAACAGGACAGAAGGGGACGTCCTGGACAACCCCGATCAGAAAGCAGCACAGAAACGAGACTGGAAGAGACAAGCCAGCGTGTCACCGGCGTGTCTGCTGCTGGAGCCCCCGCCCCGCCGGGCACTCACCTCCCCATAGACACGACGTAGCGGGGCTCTGGCATCTGGTCATAGACCTGGAAGAGACAGGGGTCTGCGTGCAGCTCAAGCCTGGGGGGGGGGGCGGGGGCGGGGCTGGGAGGAGGGGAGGGGCGGGGTTGGGGGAGGGGGAGGGGAGGGGGCTTGACAGTGAGGCCCACCTTGCGGAGCGCGGGGGCCATCTTGTTGGTGAGCGTCCCAGCAACGATCATCACGTCGGACTGGCGGGGGCTGGCGCGGAAGACCACGCCGAAGCGGTCCATGTCGTAGCGGGGCGCTGCCATATGCATCATCTCCACAGCGCAGCAGGCCAGGCCAAAGGTCATGGGCCACAGGGAGCTCTGCAGGGCGGGGCAGTCAGCCCGTAAGTGGACGAGTGGCCCACTGTGTTTAAAGAAATTGGACGATTTCACATAGAAAAATCTGTTTCTAGCCTTTTCTGGGCCCTGCCCACAGCAACCATGTGACCTCCAGACCCCGAAGCCCGCCCTGGACACTGGTCATCGGCCTGAGCCTGATGCCCCAGCCCAGGACTATGTGACAGGAGGGCCAATTGAGTTAGGCCCATGGGTCTACACTTCCCAGCAGCCACATTACCAAAAGGTAAAACAGACAAAAATAAAACCAAGTGCAATTAGCTTTAATAATATAGTCCACGTAACCCAGCATATCCTAAATCCCGGCCTCCAACATGGGCACTTGCTGCTCTGAGTGCTCAGTGGCCACACACGGCACAGGTCTAGACCCCGGGGCTCAGCACTCTGGAGGGTCTTGTTCCCAACACCGCCTGGACTCAAAGTGCCAATTCCTCCAGGAAGCCCTCCTGGTTGCCCTCTGACTTCTCTCCATCCTTTGGTGCCCGATATCGCCCCTGCCCCCACCTACAAGCTGTTCTCCACCAGAGCTTTCTCTGCTTGTCTGTGTCCAGTCTGGGATCTGGCCAAGGTCCCTGCTGCCCTGTGGATGTCCTAATTCAGGTGACAGGGCTCGGGTCACACAGCAGGCAAGGGCTGCCCAACACGGCAGGGCCATGACTCCACAGCACACGGCCACAGCGACCATCGCCGCCCTGGAGCTGTGGGCCTGGAGGGACACTCGCTGTGGACTCGCTGGTCACACACAGACACCAGGACAGCACCAGCCCGCCCGTCAATGGGGGATTGTTACCCAGCTGGGCGCCCCGAGAGCACTGAAAGGAACCACTGTCCTGGGACAGAGAACACATGTCCGGGGGGAGACAGGGACAAGCATGTGAGCAAGCAGACTGTCCCACGGCGAACGTGGGGGTGGGGTGGGGGATTAGGATATTTGCTGAGAAGGAGCTACTGTTTCCATCGTGTATTTCCAGTTAAAAACATGGGTTTTACGTTAAGAGAGAAAAGAGAGGAATGAACAGAAAATGGAAGGAGAAGAACAGGAAGGAGGTGGCTCATCTTCTCTGGGGACCGATGCGGGGGGCAGGGAGCACCGAGCGAAGTCAGGCCAGGAACTGCTGGGGGCAGGGCAGGGGTCCTGAGACAGAATCAAAGCCACAGGTCCCCACACGGAGGGGCCCTGGGGCAGTCCGGCCCACTCCATAGCCATGGGAGTGTGGCTGAGCAGCCAGAGGGGGCCCCACGGACGCAGACGAGGAGGGGCTCACCCGGCGGGCCCAGTTGATGAGGTCGTCCAGCTTGGCCACCACATACTCGCCCCGGCTGCTGGGAAGGGCGGCGGATTTGGGGACCACAGCTCCGGCCTGGGACACGGCGGGGTGGGTGCTGGGCACGGGACACAAAGCAAGGGGAGGCATCAGCCAGGCAGGTATCCTGGCCGGGCCCAGCCCAGAGCAGCCTCTCCGAGGGCAGGACAAAGCCGTGGTCACGGCGGGTCCCCAGAGCAGCACTGGGAGTAGCCGTGAGGCCAGGTCTGCAGCATTCCTGCGCCCCGGCCGGGCAGCACATGCCTGCTCAACAACGGAGTGAAGGATGGTGTGGACGGGCCTCTACCGCCTCACTGAGGCCCAGCAGGACCCTGTCCTCTCGGGGACTGTCTCCCCGTCTGGAAAACAGGCTCGGCTGACACACTCTTTAGCGAGGGCCCTCCTGGTCTGCAGTTGTGCAGCCATTGGCCTGGGCGCACAGGAGCGGGCTGGGCAGAACTCTGAGGGCAGGGACCCCCTCACATACCCCGCTGGGTGGTGGGAGTGCCCCGGAGTTGCCACAGGCTGCTGCTGTGCTGGGGTGGGGGGATGTGGAGACTTCAGGGTGTGTGGGCTCCCGGGAAGGCCGACCTCACCTGCTCGGGCTGTCAGCAGCCAAGCTTGGATGGACCCCGCGCACCTGCAGAGCTGCGCCCACGCCAGAGCTGCGGGGAGACAGACTGCCCATGACTAGCAGCCCAGGGCGCCCCAACACGCTGTGACAGGGTTACCCCGGGGCCAGGATGGGGAAACTGACCAGGGGGTCTAACCCAGCCCACTGCCGGCTTTTGTAAATAAAGTTTTATTGACACATAACCACACCTATTCACTTCCTTGGTGTCTGGGACTGTTTTTACAGAGGCAGAGCCAAAAATGTTTACCATTTGGCCCTTTAAGGAAAAAAAAAATCTGCTGATCCCTGGTCTAGAGAGTGCCTGGTTTTCATTTGATACTTCCCTCATTCTCCCCGTCTTCCCTTTGCTTTGCAGTGAGTGTGTATTTCATCTGTAGGAAAAAGGCCGTATCAAAACAAACTCAGCCCAAATCTGAGGGCCTGGCAGCCACCTGCCTTCCTGCCCCAAGGAGGCCTACACGCGGCTGCCATCAGAGCAAACGTGCTGAATGCCTTTCGTGCGCCAGGTAGCAACTGGGCTCTGAGGGTACTAGGGCAGGCAGACGTGGGGCTGGATGCCAGGCGGCCCCTGGCCTGGTGCTGATGGAGGGCCCACCCGGATCTGAGGCCCCCTGACAGCCCCCTCTGAGCCTCTCCCTGCCAGGGCCTCACTGCGGGGTGTCAGGATCAGAGATGCAGATACACAGGCAGGCAGGCAGGCAGGCACTCACCGAAGAGCAAGGATCCCACGGAGCAGGCCAGGAGCTGCAGAAAGAACCACAGGGTGGGGGCAGTGAGTTGTGAAAGCACCAGAGGCCACAAACAGCCCAGACGGTCCAGCCTCCAGGTGTTTGCCCATCAGGCCCCCCACGTGGTGCACCCGCCTTCTCACCCTCAGTCTATCTCCATTCCATTTAACAAACAATTGATAAAGAGCAATCTTTCAGGGGAATTCCCTGGTGGTCCGGTGGTTAGGACTCCACGCTTCCACTGCAGGGGGCCCGGGTTCGATCCCTGGTCAGGGAGCTAAGATCCCGCAAACCGCAAGGTGTAGCCAAAAAAAAAAAAACCAGTGATCTTTCAGAATGTGAACCAGACAGTGTCATTCCCCTGCTTCCAACCCCACACTCCACGTCAGAGCCACCTTCCCTTTCCTCAGGAATGTCAGTGTCCCTCCTGTCTCAGAGCCTTTGCACTTGCTGTCCCCTCTGCCTGGAGCACCACTCTCGTGGGGCAGCTTTCAGCTCAAATGCCTGGGTCTACACTAGCTCCGCAGGTCCTCTATATCCTGTCACCCTGTTCTAACTCTATCCACATGTCCTCCTGTGGCTCCTGCCTCCCCCTGATGCTAGGGCTTCCCTGGGTTCCCCAGTGTCTGTCTCGGCCTTGGCTCAGCCTGACAGGCTGTCAACAAACCCATAGACATCAGCGAGGCTCCAAGCCCTGGGCTGGGAGTTCCGGGGTTTCAGAGGCTGGGCAAGGAGTCCAGGCCAACGGCCCAGCCCCGGACTCTTGTGCAAGCTGTTCCTCTCTGAGCCTCAGCTCCCCCATCTGAAAATGCAGGGCTTTGGGTAATCTCACAGCACAGTAAATGCCCTTCACCTCCAAGGTGAGGGGATTCCAGCCTCTGGACCAGACATTCTTAGCAAGGGGCCGCTGGTGAGGATTCAGCAGACCAGTGAGCTTGCACGGGAAAGAAAAATACCCTCTCTATTGTCACCAACGTCTTACTGAAAATTGGCCTTTCCTTAAAATCTGAGTATAGCCAAAACCACACCAGTATTAGCGAGACCTAGGCTTTTCAACAACAGAAATGACAGTGGTTTCCTAACCCCGACATAGAGGCTGCAGCCAACCCTGTGTAAAGGAACGTGTCCACTTCTCACTCCTTCAAAGTCACAGCAGTAGGCAGATCTGCCACTAAACCTCGGCTTTCCAGGCATGAATAATGAAGCACCCGGGCTGCGAACTGACCCCCGGTTCCCAGACAGAATCCTGGCAACTGTCAGTATAACCGCTTTTCTTTGCAACCCTGTGAATCCATCCTATGCGTTTAATCGCTAATCGGAGGAAAGGTCCGCGGAGCAGCCAGGGTTTGGACGCCTTCTCTGCGGGTGACCGTCCCCTTCCCGGGGTGGCAGGGTGCCCCGGGGTCGCGTCCCTGCCCGGACAGGCCGCGTGACCACCAGAGGTTCCAGCCGCTCTCTGAGCCTCAGTTTCCTCGGATGTCGGGGTTGCTGCCCCCTCGCCGCCTCCTCCCGGAAACTTCAAGGGCAGCATCCCGGGCCGAGCCTGGGTCCCTCCGGCTCCCGCCCCGGCCCCCTCCGAGGCTGGGAGTCTGCGTCGCCCTCGGCATCCGCTTCCCCATGCGGCCGGGCGGAAAGGCGCCCGGAGCGACCCAAGCCCCGACCCCGCCCTCGGCCCCGCCGCCCCGACCTGCTCACCCGCCAGCGCCGCCATCTTGGCCTCGGCCTTCAGACAACCTCTATGGTCCGTCCTCTTCAGAGCTCCGGGTCCCCGGGGCCGTCGCCCAAAGTGCCTCGGCTCGTGCTCGGAAACCGGAACTCGGGCGGGGACGTTCCGCCTCTGTGGAATCCCCAGCACCGCGCGCCGCCGGACGCCCCACGCGGGATAGAAGGATACGGAAGTGCGCGGGGAGGGTCGTGGCAAAAGGCGGCGAGCCGTCCCCTCTCTTCTTAGCCGGGGAAGGAAAAGCGAAAGCACGTCCCTGGGTGGGCTCGAACCACCAACCTTTCGGTTAACAGCCGAACGCGCTAACCGATTGCGCCACAGAGACGGTGCTAAGGCCTGCTTCCAGGCGCCATCCTACGAGGCATGCGCGGCCCGCAGGGGCGGCCCGAGCTGCGCCTTCACGCAAGCGGCTCAGCGTGGGGCGGAGTCGGGGGTGGGGGCAACCCCCTGCTGCGCAGCCGAAATAGCTCAGTTGGGAGAGCGTTAGACTGAAGATCTAAAGGTCCCTGGTTCGATCCCGGGTTTCGGCAGACGTTTTGGTGCCCCCAGCGAACAGCGTTCTGTTTTGCTCCAAGCTGATCCAGCTTCTCCCAGCACTTTTACCCAGAATGTGTCGGTTTTGACCTTTCCTCCCCAGAATACTCTCCATTCTTCAGATGAGGAGCTGGGCTGCTGGCTCATGCCAATGCGGGAGGGCTTAGAACAAGGCCTCATCCCCATCCACCCCGGTCCACCCCCAAAACTATGATCCCAGCCCGAATGACCCCCTTCCCCACTCCCATTTACAATATTTTTTAAGTGGCAGGATCAGAACGAATGTAATTGTCAAAAGAAACACTACTGAATACCAAAAGGGAGTTTGCAGAGACACCTTCTGCTCGGATGTCGTTTAACTGTGACAGTCCTGCTGGGTACCTATTCTGCCCATTTTACAATACATATGGGGAAACTGAGGTTCCCCCGTTCCCAACGGGGGAACGCAGGTGAGGAGCAGGGCTGGCTCCTGGCGAGGGAGGACCACCCCAGGTGTGCCCTGGAGCCCGACTGCGCGGTCCCGGGAAGGGGAAGCGGGGCGCCGGTAGGTGTCACCATCCCGGTGGTGACACACAGGAGAAAAGAGAGGGGCTGGGCCGAGGGCTGGGTCTGTTGGGAATCCTACACCTCCTTGCCCTCAGTTCCCACAGCTGGCCAGGCTGTGGAGCTGGAATTTTTTAATTAAAATAAACCTTGTACTTCCAAATAGTTTGATTCAAAGAAAAGTTGCAAACCTAGTACCAGAGTTCGCTGTACTCATCACCCAGTCTCTCCTGCTGCTAACATTTTACACTGACGTTAACAATTCATGACCCAATGTATATACATCGCCAGCTCATGTCCAGGCATTATTCAGGCTCCTGTTTTCTCCTAACGTTCCTTGTCCTGTGAGCCAGGCACCTGGGAGCCGAGCCCCCAGCCTCGCTCGAGCCTTCAGACACCTGACTGCGACCTCCTGAGACCACAACCCAGTCAAGAGAGAACGTTGCTTCCAGCCGCCAGGGGCCGGTACACTGCTAAGGCAGGGATGGATAACTAATACAGGAGGGGCCATCGGCTGTCAGGGTGATGGATTGGATGGGGAGCGGGGGGGGGGGGGGGGGGTGGATAGGGGAGGTAAGAGCCTGCATCAGGAAACTGGGACTGTCAAGGGCAAGCCCTGAAACGGAGAAGCAGGTCTGACAGGGCAGGGAGTTAACGGAGGGTTCACCATAATTCCAGGAACACTGAGGGTGAGGGGCTGAGGGCAGATGGGTAGGTGAGGAGGAGGTGGGGGGGGGAGGGGGAGCCAGGGCTGGAGGAGGTGGGGAGCAGGACCTGGAAGGGACGGAGCAGGGGCAGGAGGATGGGGGGTGCAGGGGCTGAGAGGGGAGCCGGGACAGGAAAGCCTGGCCATAGAAGCCATGCACGGGGGGGAGGGCCACTGACCGCACTGCATAGACGTGCCTGTCTGATTTGAGATTCTGTGTGTGTGTGCATCCCTCGTCTTAATCAGCTTCCTAGATAAATGATAGACTTAAAGAGGTGCTCAAGTGAACACAAAGAAAACTCCCCCTTCCAGGAAGTGGTTTTGTTGATGCACTGCTCCTCACACCGGGGGGTCTGATCGTCCCCTCATGCCATCTGGGCTGGAGCGAGAAAGGTACAGCGACTGTAGGACAAGCATCGCAGGGTCTGAGGTCAGGGGTCTGGCTGAAAAAGGTTCAGGAAGGGTGGCTGTGAGTGGTGGGAGGTGACCGGGGCAGGGGTGGACGCCTGGGGAGGGGACGGGACACAGTGGGGGAGCAGGGTGGCCGTGCAGAGGTGTGGGCTGCTGAGACGCCAGCTGGCCGGAGCCCAGACAGCTGAGGGGGGACACCGGGTGAGGGTGGGTGCAGGGAAGCTGGGGCTGTGGTGGACGGGGGTGCAGGAGGCCACGGGCCAGCCAGTGGGGGCCCTGGCTGCACCCCGTGTTGTGCTGGGTCTCTCTTCTTGATGCAGAAGCAGCCCAGTGCGCTGGCTTCCCGGGGGCCAGGGCCACCTCACTGCTCCTCCTGGAACATTCCTCACTTGGTCGGCTGGCTCTGCCTTCCTAACTACTACCCAGCGCCAATTTGGGGCATCAACAGACGCCCACCCAGCACTGCCTGCCCCAGTGGCCCTGGGACAAAGTTTCAAGACGAACAAAAACATAATACAGTGGGAGTGAGGAACTGAAGACACCTGCTGGGGCACAGGACCGGGATGGGGCTGGGCGCCGAGCAGCGGAAGCCTCCAGCACTTCTGGTCAGCACCCGGCACACCTGAAACACCGGCTCGGCTGGGCTGACATGGGACCCGCCCCCCCCAGCCAGGCTGGGGAAGGAGCCTCCAGAAGCAGCCATCGGGGACAGCGTGGCCGGCCCGAGTGCCCGAGGTGGGCTGCGCATGGGGCCCAGGAAAGAACAGGCAGGGCTGCAAAACGGCATTTAATTCCAGTCTGAATAGTTCAATTCCACAACCAGAGCTCAGAACACAGATATATAAAAATACTTCACAATAACGGAATAGTCCACGTGGATGCCTCACCCACAAGAGCACCCTGTTCTCCATCCTGACCCACTTCAAGGAGGCTTGCTGTCTAGACCTTTCTAGAAGGGAGCGAGGCCACAGTGGAGATGCTAGCGGGGCCATTCTCCCAAGCCTGGCCCACACGGGATGCCCCTCCGACCGCCCTGGGGGGCAGCTCAGCGGGACCTCCAGGGCCGTGTCTGCACCTCTGCTTGGGTTTCAGCAAAACCAGCAGAGACACCACACGCAGGTCCCCGCAGTGATCTCTGCACCTCCTTCCCGCAGGGACCCAGCCTCCCGTCAGGATCAGGGCCCGTGTCCCCGGCGCCTGCGAGAACCTCTCCCCAACTGTCCTCTGCAGCGGCCGCTCGCTGGCCGGTGCCGGCTTCAGGGAGGACTGGCCGAGCTCAGATGCCGCGGCGCAGCCATCATGGTGGGGACTTGGCTGTTTCCTTCCACAGGCAGCCTCGCGTCAGCTTAGAATAAATAATCCACCGTGTGTCGCTTTAAACCAGAACAGAATTTCTGTGACCACGTAAAGGACCGGGCCTTCACACAACTCTCTCCAAAGGTGGTGGGGGGACCCTGAGCCTGGAACCCTCAGGCATCGGGGGACCCATCTGTGCTTCGGGCTTCCAGACAAAGGACTGGTTTCCACTGGTGCCGGGCCGCGACCCCACGGCCCAGGCCCAGGCCGTGCACACAATGACCTTGGCCGGGCTGGGGGGCGCAGCAGCCCGGTGGGATCGTCACAGCTATCTGGGCAGTTGGCTGTGCGGTGACAAGGCCGGGCGGGGAAACCCACATGGAGGCCGGGCGGAAAGAGGCTGGAAAGACTGCCGGTCCGTCTGCTCTCCTGCACGAGTCCCAGCAGAGGCTAGAGCACGGGAAAGCAGCGGCTCTCGGGTCCTGCCTCTTACAAACACGGGTTTGCCTCAAAAACACGTAACAGAGGCACAGCAAACTCAGGAGCCGTCATAAGAGGAGCCACACACAGGAGGGAAACAAACGGAAAAATACACTGATGTTGCGGGAGCCGTACGTTCGTATCAGAGTCTTTAAAGCTCCTGTTTAATGTTGGGTACAGTGCTTTTCAACACAAAACACAAACGTGCACCTTCTGTGAACCTACACGGTACAGTCACAGGTAATGACGTAAAGTTAAAAAAAAAAAAAAAAAGCCTCTGTCCTTTCAAACCCTTTCAGGAGCTGTACCTTCCACAAGAGCCAGGAAAACAGAGGCAGCAGCCGTCAGGAAGGCCAACGGCCCGCCTGTGCTCCAGAGCGCAGGGCCTTGCCTCCACCGGCCTCAGCTTCGCCGGCTCCTTTCTTCCAGGAGCTGCGTATCAAATATTTCTTTTTCCCTGCAAAACCAAAAGGAGATCACTTCGTTTTAGTCAGCAATTCCCTCTCCCAAGGCAAGAGAAATCAAAGAAAAATAAACAAATGGGATCCTAACCAAACTTATAAGCCCTTGCACAGCAAAGGAAACCATCAACCTATGGACTGGGAGAAAATATTTACAAATGATGTGACTGAAGAGGGCTTGATTTCCTAAATATACAAACAGCTCATACAACTCAATAACAGAAAACAAACAACCCAATCGAAAAATGGGAAGACCTAAATCCAAATTTCCCCAAAGACATACAGATGGCCAACAGGCACGTGAAAAGATGCTCAACATCACTAATTATTACAGAAATGCAAACCAAAACTACAGTGAGGTATCACTCACACTGGTCGGAATGGCCATTGTTATGAAGACGACAAGTAACGGGGGATTTCCCTGGTAGCGCAGTGGTTAAGATTCCGTGCTCCCAATGCAGGGGGTATCACCTGATCCCTGGTCAGGGAACTAGATCCCACATGCATGCCACAACTAAGACCCGGTACAACCAAATAAATATTAAAAAAAAAAGAAGTCTACAAATAACAAATGCTGGAGAGGATGTGGAGAAGAGGGAACCCTCCACCCTCCTCCTACACTGTTGGTGGGAATGTTAAGTTGGTGCAGCCAGTATGGAAAACAGTACGGAGATGCCTCAAAAAAGTAAAAACAGAATTACCATATGATCCAGCAATCCCACTCCTGGCATATACCCAGACAAAACTCTAATTCGAAAAGACAGGTACTTCCCTGGCGGTCCAGTGGTTAGGACTTCACCTTCCAATGCAGGGGGTGTGGGTTCCGTCCCTGGTCAGGGAGCTAAGATCCCACATGCATCATGGCCAAAAAACCAAAACACAAAACAGAAGCAATACTGTAACAAATTTAATGAAGACTTTAAAAATGGTCCACATCAAAAAAATCTTTAAAAAAAAAAAAATCTTAAAAAAAAAAGAACAGATACATGCACCCCAACATGCATTGCGGCACTCTTCACAACAGCCAAGACATGGAAACAACCTAAATGTCCATCGATGAATAGGTAAAGAAGATGTGGTACACATATACAATAGAATACTATTCAGCCATAAAAAAGAACAAAATAATGCCATTTGCAGCAACACAGCTGGACCTAGAGATTATCATACTAAGTGAATTATTGTAGTTTTTTTTTTGCCACGCCACACAGCTTGTGGGATCTTAGTTCCCCAACCAGGGATGGAACCTGGCTGCGGCAGTGAGAGCACCAACTCCTAACCACTGGACCACCAGGGAAATCCCCATACTAAGTGAAGTAAATCAGGCAGAAAAAGAGAAATACCATACGACGTCACTTATATGTGGAATCTAAAATATGACACAAATGAACTTATTTACAAAACAGACACAGACTCACAGACATAAACAAACTTATGGTTGCCAAAGGGGAAGGGTGGGAAGGGATAAAGTGGGAGTTTGTGATTAACAGATGCACACTGGTATATATAAAAAAGATGAACATCAAGGATTTACTATATAGCACAGGGAGCTATACTCCGTATCTTGTAACAAACTGTAGTGAAAAAAATCTAAAAAAAAGAACACAGACACACACACGTGTACACATATAACTGAGTCACTTTGCCGTACACCTGAAAGTAACATAATATTGTAAATCAATTATACTTCAATTAAAAACAAACAAACAGGGCTTCCCTGGTGCACAGTGGTTGAGAGTCCGCCTGCCGATGCAGGGGACACGGGTTCGTGCCCCGGTCCGGGAAGATCCCACATGTCGCGGAGCGGCTGGGCCCGTGAGCCATGGCCGCTGAGCCTGCGCGTCTGGAGCCTGTGCTCCGCGACGGGAGAGGCCACAACAGTGAGAGGCCCGTGTACCGCTAAAAACAAACAAACAAACAAAGAAAAAAACCAACCAAACAAAAAAAAAAAACCATAAACAGAGAAGTGAGTGTTTCATAGGGACCAAGTTTCAGTTTGGGAAGATGAGAAAGTTCTGGAAATGATGGTGGGGATGGTTGCCCAACAGTGTCAATGTGCTCAATGCCACTGAGCTGTGCGCTTAGAAGGGTTAAGACGTTGAATTTTACGTTATGGGTATTTCACCACAATGAAGAAAAATAAACTACAAAGAAAAATTGGTGAAACAGCAAATTGTCCTTTAAAATGGCTATCTGTTAACAAAAAATTACATGATCAGTTAGTTGACTGGCTGCCCCTCTCAGGATCAACAAGGAATATGATCCTGAGGGGGACGACCCAAAGGTAAACGGAACACAGCAGCCTAAGAACCCCAAGAGGAGACCCAAACCCTGTCGTGGTACCGAGGCTCGATGGTTTGTGCACAAGAACCTAAACGCAACTACAGTGTGAAAAGAAGCGGGAGGTGGATGCACCAGGACAGACCCACTGCCCGACTGACACCCGGCCCAAGGGACCCCTGGCTGCCCAGGCTCGGCGCCTGAGGCGGCAGGGCGCGGCCGGGGCACAGCCCATGGCCCTCCATAGGCATCTGGGGTGCCTGCAGCCGGTTGAGGCTGCGGGAAACTCAGGACGCCCTCCGACCGGCAGCCCGACCGGGAGGGTGGTGCCAGCTGGAGATGGGCCGCTCAGACCTCACTCTCCCGGGAGCACCGTCTCTTTACCGGGTGTGCAGGGCAGCCGCTGAGGCTAGGGACAGTCTGTACCACGAGACCCTAGTTGAGTCTTCAGCCTGTCACCGCCACGCGGCCCCGCCTGCTCCCAGCGAGGCCTGGCAGCCCGCCCAGAGACAGGATTAGGGGCTCCAGACCGCCAGTCCAGGGCGCTAACCACAGCAACGTGAGAGGAACATCTTGATCACCGCATTCTTCCCGCCAGCCAGGGATGTCCGGGCAGCGGCTGCTGCTTAATCTCACTGTTTCCTCAAATAGCCGTGGCATCGAGGCAACGGGCAAGAACGCTGGGGAGGCAAACATCAGCCCCACGAAGGACGCAGGGCGTGGCGGGCCCAGCTCTGCCCGCTCGGACCAGGGCCCCTCAGCCCAGCCACCGCAGCCGCCGGCGCGTGGAGACGAAGCCCTTCGGGACGCAGCGCGGCCTGCCTACCGGTAGCTGAGTGAAGGTCCTCGTATGTACTTCTCCTCAGCCGTCTTGTAGTCCACAGCATCCACAGCGGAAATCGCGCAGATGATGGCCTGCAAGAGGGCAGCACACGTCAGGCTCGGGCCAGGCCCGGCGGCTCGCACGGAGCTTGGAGGAGGCCGCGTGGGCGGGTGGTCCAGCCACGCCCCGGCCACCAGGGCCCTCCCAGCTCAACACTCGTGCAGTCTGCAAAATCTCTGCTCCTGGTGTTTCCTAATTAAATCTACAATGCTCTCTTTTGGATGAGACGAAACTTCATGTCACTAAAAGCAGCGAAAGGCAGAACCTGGGGACTTCCCTAGCGGTCCAGTGGTTAGGACTCCATGCTTTCACTGCCAGGCCTGGGTTCAATCCCTGGTTGGGAAACTAATAAGATCCCACAGGCCGTGTGGTGTGGCCATAAAAAAAGAAAAAAAAAGGAAAAAAACAAGAAAACACAAAGAAGTAATCTGAATATACAATAGATGTCTGATATCAAAAGATCACTGTTACTTTTTGGAGTGAAATCATAGTATCGTAGCTATTTATTTTTGAAGAGTTCTTCTGGTTCAGAGCAGGGTCTCTCTCCCCTCGGCACAGCTGACACAGGGGCCGTCCTGGACTGTGGGGTGTGGAGCAGCATCCTGGTCCCCACCCACAGGATGGCAGAAGCCCCCCACTCGTGACAACCACAGACAACCCCAGACATCCCCCAGTGTCCCCAGGGGGCAGGATCACCCTTTGTAGAGACACACATGAAAGTATGCACGGATAAAAAACAATCCAGAAGGAGGGACTGGAGGTGCAAGTGGAGCAAGGCCACACTATTCCAGCTGGTGACGGACACGTGAGGGTTCACGGCGCTACTTAATTTTTCTTAACGTATTTGAAACCTCCACAACGATAAAGCTCAACACTTTAGAGCCTGGTGACATTTTCCCACACATTCATTCATGGCCAGCAGCATCCTCCCTGAACTGAAGAACGGCCGAGGGGCCGTGCACCAGCTCCTCGACCGCCCGCGCCCCAGCTGAAGCGCGTTCGCAAAGCTTAAGCTCCCCTTCCCCTGGGCCAGGGACCAGCCGAGGGGCCCAGGCCGCAGCACCCAGCCCACAGCACCTCGGGGAGACGGCTCAGGCGGCACCGCCCCGGGAAGGCTTCTGGAGAACGACGCCCAGGCCCCGGCACCCCAGGGTGCCGCAGGGTCCGCCGGCGCTCACCTCGGGCAGAAGCACGTCCAGGACGAAGCGGATGCCGTCCGCGTGCCCGCGTGCCAGCAGCCTGCTGCCCGCCTCCTGGTACACCCCCTGCAGGTACTTCACCACCAGGTCCAGCTGCTCCTCGTCCTCCAGGTAGGTCTCCACGCAGGTCACGTACTGACCCGAGCTCAGGAACGTCTTTAGCCACCTGGACGGCTTCCTGTTCTTCAGGATGGCCCGCAGGTGGCTCTCGGCACCCCGCGCCTTCACGATGTACTCCACCAGCTTCTGGTTGGCCCGGTCCCGGGCGGCCCGCGAGCGATCAGGGAGCACCTTCCTGCAGGCCGGCCTCCTGCCCCGCGGGTTCCCTGCCGAGGCCTCCTCGGGGCCCACCCCGCTCAGCGGCGGAAACCTGGTCCCCTGGACGTCCCGCTGGATGGACTTGCGGACGGGGGAGCCTGCGGAGGAAGCGCACTCCCGTGACTGGGCGCCCTCGGCTGTGCCGGGACGGTTCCCGAGGGCTCTCCCCCCAGTAGGACCCCCGCCCCTCGTCCCAGCTCTGCCCTCCACCCTGCTTCAGCGGCACCCTGCAGAGGCCAGTGACAGGAGGGCAGGGAAAGGGCCACGCAGATGCCCCGGCGCCAGGCGGGTGACCTGGGCGCTGGCGGCAGGTGTGGGTGTGCAGCCGCCCTCCCGGCCCCACGGCAGAGGGAAGCAAGGGGACCCCGTGGACCCAGGCATGGCTGGACTGTAGGCCTCAGGCTTGGGGCGCGCTGCCCGCCGCACACACCCCTCCAGAGCTCAAAGAAGACTGCCGCTCCTAACGGGCAAAAGAGCGGGTCCCACCTTAAAGGAGCTGCTGGTGAACTTACTTATATCAGCCGCGTAGTATTCTAGGAAAGAGCCTGCGAAGGAACCACAGCCTGCACAGGGGCGGAAGGGAAGTCAGGTCACACACAGGACTGGACTCTGCCGGGTCGTCCAGCCGGTGTGCACCCTGACCTCAAGCCCGAGGACCCCCCATGGCCGGACCTGGGACAGATGGAAACCAACCCCGATTCAAAGGAAACTGTTCTGTTCAGACCCAGGATGAGCCTCCACCAGGCGCCTGCCCATCCGCAGGGATGGGGAGAAAGCCTGCTCGGGGCAGGGCGAGACAGCTATGGGGACCAGGCCACCCTCCGCCCTCGGGGGCGGCCCCGCACTGCTGCCCCCCGTCACTTCGTGCAGGGGCACCGGAGCCCCACGTACCCAGTCGGACCCTGTAGTCGGTGATGAGGGAGACGCACCAGCCGATGGCCTGGTCGAAATCCTCCTTGGCCTCGTCCTGCAACAAAAGCCAGACGGCGGGCGTCAGCCGGGAGCACCTCCGAGGTCCTGCGTCCTCAGTCCCCTCGTCCAGGAAGGGGCCTGCAGACGCCCCCACACAGGGCTCCCTGCGAGGCATGTCTGGGGCCGGGGCTGCTCAGAAAACGGTCACCTGTGTGCCAAGCCCTCGGGGCCGAGAGAGACACCACAGACCCTGAGAGCAGGAGGGCGAAAACCCACCGCAGGGCAGCTGACAGGCCATCAGATTGACAAGACGTGAGGTTGCAGGAGATGAACCCCGTGGAAGACGCCTCTGGGCCCGTGGCCCTCGACTGTACACGGTCAGTGGGAAGAAGTGCTGCCCCGGGGGAGGGACCCCTGGCCTGTGATCCTCACAACAACCCAAGGCCGTCACCCCCGGTGAGAACCCCTAAGCTGGGATGACCAGCGAGACCAGCCTGAGACCCACAGGCGTGTGATGGGAGGGGCAGGCAGCTCCAGAGGAGGAGGGTGCTTGGGCCGTGGCCAGGCCCGCTGACCAGCACCTGCGACAGCAGGGTGGCGCCGGCACATGCCTGAGCTCCCACGGCCCGTTTCCAGGGGACGTGCCCAGGCATCCGGGTCCCGCGAGACCTACGCGCCATCTTCTTGAACCCAGGCGTCCTTGCGATAAAACCCATTCCTCAGGTATTTGAGGCACACGAATCTCAAACTCGATTCCCCCCCCCTGCCCCCGCCCTCCGGTCCCAAGAGCCCAAGGCTGGGTCCAGCGTGGGTGCCGACCTTCCGAGCAGTGCCCGCACTCAAGGCCCGTGGCCTGCTGCCCTCAGAGAACAGATGGTCGGCGGGAGACGCCCCGACAGCCCTACCGCATCCCACTCACCCTGGGAACCAGCTCAGACGCTGCTTCCCACACGGGAAGGCATCACCCCATGCTGAGCGCAGAGCCCGCTGACCGGGGGCCAAGCAGACACCCACGTTGGAGCGGGGCTCACGGGCCCCACTGCCCGACCCAGTCGCAGTCTGTGTTTTTGAAAGTTGGGACAACGAAGTGGTGGGTGTTTCAGAGTTAACAGACAGCACCGTGTGGACCAGCTCCTGGGGACTCGGGCTGGGCCAGTCACAGGGCCACGGCGATGGTGTTCCCTGATGTATGTGGCACTCAGGCTCAAGGCCTCGGGGTCTATGGTGCCCTTCCCGGGGGCGGCTCAGACACAACCGCAACCTGTGGGCCTTGGCCCTGGGCTCTCCCACCTCCCTTCTGCGCAGGGCGCCCTGTCCTCCACGCCAAACCTGCTCAGTGGGGAACGGCCAGCAGCCGCCCGAGGGGCAGTGACCCCCAGCGGAGCAGCCGAGGCCAGGCGCCACTCCCACAACTACCGCTGTCTGAAGGGCCTCGTGGTGGTTACCAGCCACCAAGCCAGCCCTTCAAAGCAGCGCAAACAACCATCCACGTACCAGAAGCGCCTGCTTTTCTTTACAATCAAAGTGCTTCAGTCGCCGGAGAGACACCGTGATGCTGGAAGCAGAGAGAGCAGAGGTTCACGGGAACCAGCCCCATCTCACGACCCAAAAGCGTCCTTCCTCTGGGAAAGCGTCGGGCCTCTGCCAGCGCCGGCTCGTCGGTGGAGGGAGCCCCTCGGAGCCGGGCCCAGGTGTGCCCACACTTCCAGGCCGGCTCCGGGCAGATGGTGCTCCTGCCCTCAGTCGAGGACTAGGGGGGTGACTGGGCAGGGGGCTGCTCACGGCCCCTGCAGGGAGCCAACTCTGCTGCAGTTTGTGGGAAACGGGGGCCCAAGGAGCGTCCGGCAGGGCTGACTCTGGAAGCCGACAAGCAGTCTGGAAAACCCGACCATCTGGCCGCGTCCCTGAACACCACCTTCACAGGGATCCTCATCTGGGGCTCTGGACCCCACCCCGGCCCCCTTCGCCAGCCTCCACCCAGAAGCACTCGGCAAGAGCAGAGAACAGTGGGTTTACCCTCTCCCTTTGGGGTTCATGTTTCCTTCAATGAAAAGCACACTCGCTTTCTTATCTCTTCGCCTGACGCTTTTGACCTGTTGGCAGATCCAAGAAAACCAGGTGTCAAGGACCCAGAAGGTCGTGGGTTTTCGACACTTTCCTGATGTCACCTCGTCAAGCACGTGACGAGGAACGCAGCCGGCTTGGACTGACAGCCGACACCGGGGAACGCTCAGAAAGCGTCGCATGGCCCTCAGCGCCGCTCCGACCGAGCAGAGCCAGGGCTCTACAAGAGGAATCACGGCCGCTGCCTTCAGCACTTCCGCTCGGCTCAGGGCGCGATCCTCCTCACTCTGGGGGATGGGCAAAGCGAGCTCCGGGAGGCCCCGCCGGGCCCAGCAGAGGTCAGGCGGGAGGCGGCAGGCTGTGGACCCCGGAGGGGCCCCCGCTCCGTGTCACCAGCGCCGTGGGTGAGGCTGGAGCCCGCACACCACTGGCACCCATGAACCAGCAGGGCCCCCGGGAACTGGGGAAAGCGGAATGGCGGGGAGAAGGCTGCCAACTGCAGGGGGACACGGCACCTCGGGAAGCGAGGGTCCCCGATAATCAGCCCCCCAAACCCTGCCACGGAGCTGCACGGCAACCCCGGTTCAACTGCACGTCTGCGCTCTATCTACAGGTGCCGCAAAGATTTCATTCTGTCCTTCCCGGGACGGTCAGTCACGTGTCAGGAGGCCATGCTGACCTGGACGAGCTCAGACTCATCGCGACAACAAAAGCCGCTCCACTGTGGCAGCTATCTTTCGGATTTACACGCCACTGCCTCTTCCTAAAAGTTAAAGGACTACAGCTAGAACCATCAGGACCCTGTCCCTGCCAGAAAACAAAGGGGGGGGAAATTAAGGTGGAAATGGCAGGAGCGAGGGCAACCGGGTGGTGCCCCTGCCTCACAAATTCTCCAACTGACCATGGGCACCGTCCAAGCAGGCGGAGGAGGCACAGCCAGGACGTCAGCCACACTTAAGGGTGTCCCCTGCACTGGGGGCGCAGCCAGGACCTCAAACACCTGCTGTGCAACCGATGCCCACCCTAATCTGCTCGCTAAAAAGCTGAAATGCAGAATATTGAAAATGAGCAAACTGTGGGCATTTTTTGGAGGCGGGCTTTCTAAGCCTGCTTGATAAAAACCTGACCTATAAGCCTCACAATCCTTTGTGCCAGAAGGCTGAGACCCCCTTTCCTTAGGGAAACGTGTCCACGTCGATGCTCATGTACCCAGCGTTTCCCCAGTAACAACAGAACAGTGAACCAGCTGCCCGGGTCCTGGTGTCAAGAATGGAGGACGCTGGACCTCAGGCTCGGGGGACCAACTGAGCAAGCAGGGGGCAGAGAAGGATTCTTACCACTGCGGGCCAGAAGGGGTATTTTTGGTATTTAAGCCAGACTAGCATTCCTACTTCAAACGAACGTGGTTCTAGAATTGAAAGAAAGAAAGGAAAACAAAAAGAGACAAGTTAGATCCATATCAGGCACGAAAAGCGACCGCTGGAGAAAACACAACCACGGAGACACTGTTCAAGCCCAGCGTCGACCCGAGAGTCTGAGGGGCAGGTTTGTAACTCCTGCCCCTGGAACCCAAATGCCGACCACAAGCGCGGCCAGGGCGACAGCTGGTTTCCTAGCAGTGACCGTGTGCCGTGCTCGTGGGGACAGGGGCGGGCGGGGGCTCGGTGCCACCTCTGCCACTGCTCTGTAAGCCTCAGGTTACTCCAGAATAGAGCACTTTTTAAAGAGCTTGGCACATAAACAGAAAGGAGACCACAGCACACAATGAAGACCCCATATGGGGACTGGATTTCTGAGAAGCTCATCTGTCTGGGAAACTGGGGGCTTTAAAGGGTTAAAATAAAGAGAACTATTCAAGCAATCGTAAGATAACTACAAGTAACTTCTCAACAAAATTTAACTGCATCCTCAACCAAAAAAGTTCCAGAATGTGTAAATAACTCAAATATTCAAGAACCGGCCGCGCTGTGGTGTCTGACAGGAGGAAGGGCTGTGAGAGAAAGGGGACCTGGGGCACAGGGAGCCGCCTGGGGCACACACAGAGCGCTGGTCACCCGCGAGAGGAGCGTCGTGGCCCCCAGGACGACGGGTCACGGGTGCAGACAGCCAACCCGGGCCGACCGGCCAAAACACCAGCAAACCAAAACCAAATGGAAGACAAAACCGGGAGAAAAGAGCCAACGCCCGGGTCTCTGGGGCTGTAACTGACCCCCATGTGGAGACGGGGACGGAAACGCCCTCTGCAAGAAGGCACAGCGGCCCCCCTGCGCCCAGCGAGCCCGCGGGGAGCTGACCCCAGTGACTCCCCAGGAGCCCAGGCACTGCAGCCCAGGCGGAAGCATCCAGACACCCCAGTAACCAGCCGCCACCAGGAACAATCGGCAGAGCCCGCGGGAAACGCCCGAGACTCGCGTACACAGAAAGGGCAGGGAGCCTGCTGCGTGGGGACAACGGGGGATGGGGTGGGGTGGCTCCAGGCCAGCCCCCCGGCCGTGCAGGAGAAGCCCCCAGGCCTCCCGTGCTGCTCGTGCTGCAGCCTGTGCACGCGTAAATGTTTCACAATAAAGAGATCCAAAACCACCCCCAGACCACGTTAAGACTAACGGTTAACGGGCGAGTCTAATACTGAAACCGGTCCTCAGTTATTTAGTTGAAAGCAAACTAGCTTTCCGTTCCTGGCCGGTTCTGACCTTGGGGCCTGTGTCTGACCCCCTTCCGGGGAGGACAGGGGCAGCTGACCTGTGCCCGGGGGCGGGGGCACTGTGCACACATGGGGGCGCCAAGCCCCTGCTTCTCCAGACGCCACCCGGGAAGGCTGCGAGGCAGCGCCAGGCCACACCCAAGTGGTGGCGACAGAGCCCATCTATTCACTTGGCTGCCGTCCTCCATCCCCTCTGAGGGGACAGCAGGGAGGCTGGGCTGTCGCGCCCCAGGGAGCCCCCCTCACGTGGCTGTCCTGGACAGCGGACCCCGGACTCCCTGTCTGTAACCCCTCGGCTCAGGACGAAACCCAGGCAGCGCCGCGAGAGACCTTCCCCGGACGTCAGGCACCGCAGGCCTCCCCCAAGGAAGGCGCCGCCCACTCACCACGGTATAGGAGGATTCTCGGGGGCTCCTCGTCCTCCTCGTCCTCTGCCAGGAGAGAGTTCACGGCGTCCAACTCCACTGACTCTTCAGAAGGTGGACGGGCTGCCAACAAGGGTAGATCAGACTTTCCCCGTCACAGTCATGGGGACTCAGCCCGGGAACAACACCTCCTGATACATGGGCGTCGGCGCAGAGAGCAAAGCTGCCGCGACGCAGACTTCCTCGCGGCCTCGCTCAGGCAGGGCACGTCGGTTAAAGCACATTCAACAGAATAAGAGAGAAAGGAGGGCAGGAGAGACCGCGAGCGCAAGCAGGGAAGGTGGAGGAACTGGGCAAGTGGTCCTCGCGTGCGGCTTGTCCCTTCACGCAGGCGCCCTCGGACACGCGGGGAGGGGGTGGCCCTGGGGCCAGGCCCCTTGGGAAACCATCCCCGCGCCTCCAGCGCTGGGGAGAAGGCCCCTTTCAGGGGCCGAAGAAAGGCAGAAACCCAGGAGTGACTGCGGGGCAGGCAGAGCGCAAGGTATCAGCCGTGCAGAAATGAAGATTTGCAAATTAGCATTTCAAAACTAAGTGGGATGCTACAAGGTCCAAACGGAGGGAATCATAGCGCCTGGCTGCAGCCACACAAAAATACACGACACGGGAATCCTTAAAAAGTCAGGAGCCTTTCAAGTGAGTTAATCACTTCTGAGATTCCTGCCAATTTAACGGGAGTGCATCATGGCTTCTGCCACGGGAAGAAGAAAGGAATTAATCCTCGGGGAGCAGATGCAGCATTATCACAGCCACATGCTTCCGCCCCGCGCCCCTCCACTCCCTCCCTCCGCTTCAAAACAAAAATAAAAACACGCAAGTATTTGGGAGCAGTTGAGGTAATTATAGCCCAGTGGGAGAGACAGACGAAAAGGACTTAGGAGATCTCTGCTTGGGATCTATCTTAGTAACAATCTAATTCAGGATCTGGTTAAAAATACACGGGTGGGGCTTCCCTGGTGGCGCCGTGGTTGAGAGTCTGCCTGCCGATGCAGGGGACGCGGAGCGGCTGGGCCCGTGAGCCATGGCTGCTCAGCCTGCGCGTCCGGAGCCTGTGCTCCGCAACGGGAGAGGCCACAACCGTGAGAGGCCCGCGTAACGCAAAAAAAAAAAAACACGGGTGTCTGGCTCCGGATGGGCCACAGGAGAAGCAGACGCCGCCCCCTCCCCGGCACACGCCTCCTCCTCTCCGGGGCTTTTACCTCCCTCCAGGAGCCGGGCGTCTCTGGTCTCCTCTGCGGGGCCGAGCTGAGTGGGGCTGCACGGAGCCATGCGGGGCCCCGGCCTCTGGCCGCTGTCCGGGCACAGGTGCTGGGCAGGGTGGCCACGGGCACTGGGGCCGCCCCGAGGACCCTCGGCCCCACCTCCGGGAGAGGAGCGCAGGGCTGCCAGGCCAGCCACCATCTCACTCTCTTCCTCCCGAGCTCCCTCTGAGGACGGAGGCGCTTCCTGACCCCAGCTGGGCCCCCGTGCTAGGTTCCTCTCCCGTTTACTCGGTGTCGTTGTCCGGTTCACCGTCCGGTTTGCCCGGTGTTTTCTGGATCCCCGTCCGTCCTGAGCACCACTGCCGGCCAAGGAGACAGCTCGGGCGCGCAGGCCTCCGCTTCTCCCGAGCCCCTTCTTGTGGTCCACTCTGCACCCGGGGTCCTCCTTGCGAGCGGGCAGGCCGGACAGCCTCTGGGGCGCACGTTCCCTCCTCGTGTGCCCAGGACTGCCCGACGCATCTTCGTGGAGCAAAGGCGAAGGGCTGGAGTGGCAGAGCGAGGAGGCCGGTTCCGTGGGCTTCACTCTCAGAGACTGAGTGGTCCTCTCTTCCCTGGAAGAGCTTCCTTGACGCGGACGGGTCCTCTCATTCAAAACATCCAGAGCCACGCGGAGCGACCGCCTGTAGGCCAGCTCCTCCAGGGGCGTGGCAGCAACCTCGTTCTGCAAGGCTGAAGGACAGAAAAGGAGCAAAGCCTGGTGATGGGCCCTCCACCGGCTGGGGCGTCTCATTGGGATCGCTGGTCTCGGCACCTGAAGGGAGGCTGACGCTTCTCACCTACATCTTCCCAAAGGAGGGACTCGGACGACAAAACAACAGTTGAGGGCTGCAAGGTTTCCCTTTCCCAAAAGCAAACTGACTGACCCTACCCTGATTGGGTTACAGAGATACATTCCTCCAGGTTACAAAACAATGCCGCCGGCAAAACCTATTCAGAGTTTGTCCGATCCTCTCTCAGCCTCACAGTTTCAAATTCAATCAGGGTCAACAGAAACCCACACCAACTAAATAAGAACTCTGTGGGCAGTGCACTCTGGGGTGGGGGTGACGAACAGACAGCTACGAGGCTCCTCTGCAAGGGCGTTTCCAAGCCAGCAAGCGGCACCAGGGGCCTGGGAACTTCAGCCTGAACAGCCTTCCTCGTTCACTCTGACGCGCAGGCGCCGTGCTCTTTATCTGAACGAGGGGACAGAGGCGACGCCACAGCTCAGCAGGCATAGATTACGCCTCCATCAACAGTGTTTGCCCGTCTAAAGGCAAAGGCATCCACAAGCAAGTGGCCCCCCAACACGGGCTGCACGGACAGTCACGGCATCCGAGAGGTGCTGGTCGTTGCCGCCCGAGGTGGGCATCGTGCTCTGAACGAGAGCTGTTTCCCCAGAGACGCAGGAACATGGACCCTACGTCACAGTCACCTCTGGAAGATACCCTGGGTAACCTTTATGCAAGACAGAAAGCTCTCCGCACGTGAAGTAAGCACTCCCAGTCTCAGCAGGGAGAACGCTTCCGCGTCTGGGCCTGCGGAAGGGCGCGCCTAGGCCGGTGCCCGGTCTGTCTCCCCCAGGGTGTGTGCACCTTGCGCAGAGCTGGGCCGGGCTCAGGCCAAGTCTGTCTGACCTGCGACGAGATGCCAAGGAGGCCGGAGTCTGGGCTCCACTTCCAGCCCGCCTCACGCCGCCCCCCGCCCCGACAGCCCGCAGACACCGTGGCAGCAAGGCTGGTGCCAGTCACACCCTTTTTTCTCCCCTGGGCTCAGCGATAGAATTTAAATACACATCCAACTGCTTCTCAGACCTTGGGCGGAGGCCAGACCAGCAACAGAAGCACCTCACTCTTGCTACGCGATAAGCAAAAAACATAAAAAGAGGAAAAGCCTCTCTCCCTTTCTTCAGGGAGGCGCCCCCCTTCTGCACGGCCTGCAGGGCCGCGGATGTGGCCTGTGGACCCTGACGCCACCACTGGCCATCCTGGGAGTCAAGAACAGGATGGGCTCGAGGGGCAAATTCTAGAAAGGGTGAAGAAAACAGACCCATCTCCTCCAGCTCAGGGAAATCACGTTCCCTTGTATGAAGGGGAAACCCTGAACAGGGTCGCTTTGCAGACCCGAGTCTCCATCTTCTCCCAAACTGCCTCTTACTTCATTAAAACCTCAGAGTTACTCAAAAACATGGTCTTACCTAACGAGGAAGCGATGCCTTCGATGTGAGACTTCTTCAGGATCTGGGCTCCCGTGCTTTTCACCTTAATTCTGCAGGGACAGGAACGGCCGTTATACGCCACCAGCCATGCCACCAAGACGTTTTCAAACATGTTTTGCTTTAAACGACAAAAGAATTAGATTCATTTTCTTCCTTTGCACCCTTCCACTCAAACCAAAAGTCACGGCCAACTGGGAATTCATGCACCTGAGGTGAGAGGCAGCAAGGACCCTGGTGAATGTTTTTTTGTTTTTTCCTTTCCCCTTTTAAGACAGAAAAGCTTGGCTGGATTTAAGAGCAAAAATGAATTCAGGGCTTCCCTGGTGGCGCAGTGGTTGAGAGTCCGCCTGCCGATGCAGGGGACGCGGGTTCGTGCCCCGGTCCGGGAGGATCCCACATGCCGCAGAGCGGCTGGGCCTGTGAGCCATGGCCGCTGACCCTGCGCGTCCGGAGCCTGTGCTCCACAACGGGAGAGGCCACAACAGTGAGAGGCCCGCATACCGCAAAAAAAAAAAAAAAAAAGAATTCAAATTGTGATTTTTATGCGGCAAATCCCACTTTCAACTGCACAAATAACTCCTTTGTTAGATTCTCAGGGTAGAGGATAATGTCACTAAAAGCTGTTTACAGACCAGCAGGTGTGTTTTAGTTTAAAAGGATGGGCTTTCCTTTCAAACTCAAGTATTCAATTACCTTCCCAGCCTCAGGGAAAGTGTGAGCTGTGGACTAAGCAGGCTTAGGAGCGGCTCTGAAGAAAGAGGGATGGGGACGCAGGGAGGCAGGAGCAGGAGCTGACTTGGTTTCATTCTCTATTTAGAATTGGGAATTCTCCCGTCAGACACACATGACCTGGGCATTTTAATCATTCCCGGTCATCTACGTCCTTCCACCACGGACGATCAAGAACACAACGTAACGTGCTTCCCCCACACCCATGTGTTTGCCTTCTGAACGCTAAACGACAGTTTCTTATGAGAGGCACAGGCTCAAACATCAAATATCCCCAAACTCAGGGGACTGTTACATAAGTTTCTGAAAAAAAGACACACAAATACATCTGTGGGAAGGAAACAGCCCTACTTGAACCCCAACGAGCGTTTACCTCCCGTTTAATTTACATTCGTTCCATTTTTGTACTGATCTCGCTGGACATCAGTACCTCGTATGCATCTTCAATTTCCAAACTTGCGTGAAATAAAATCAGTTGTTTTCCTCTTTGGGTTATTTTGACCCCATTTATAACTAAAAAAATAAGAAGCCCTTAAGAGTGCTCTTCGCTTTTTTGGGGAAGGAGTGGTGGTATCCGAAATCCCATATGGAAAAAAGATGATATCACAAAAACACAACACTTAACTTTTTGTCTAGGGAAAGTATCTGAACGTTTAGAAAAAATTCCTTTTTTCTCTTATTTTTGGCTGACTTCTCAGTTCCGGCCAAGACCTACATTAGAAAAAAAGAAGAAGGAAAACAAAGCCTTGTTACTAAGATACAACAAACAGCTAACACAATGTAAGAAGCCGTGGCGACCCATAAATACAAATGCAGCAGATGATTCTTAAAGGAGCAAAGGACTCCAGAGGCAGGGAAACCGAGGCACAAGGTGCAGCAGCAGATCCAGACCAGTACCAGGGTTTTATCTGGCCCTCTTCCCACTATGCTGCTGGGAAGTCTCCCCGAGATACTCCTGTTATTTACTATCAGGGCTCCCGGCCAGCTATTTCCTTGAGTTACAGCCTTACATGCCTTTTTATAGCTGACTCTGTTAAATTTGTTTTTTTTTTTTCCCCAGTGTGAGGAAAAAAAAAGACACTTTCGGAAGCATAACCTTGTAAGCACTCAACCAAAACCCCATTAGACGGGGAAGGAGGGAGAATCGGTGCCAACGGAGAGGAGCGCCAACTGTTCAGACTCAATTATTTCGCTGAAGCAGCTCCTAGGTATCTCCTGATAAAGATTTTACTTGTCACCCGAAAGTCATTTCTAATTCCTGAAATTACAGAAGAATGGCTGTCACCTTTGCAGGCCATAATCGCTTTTTCCATCTGCAGAGGACATACTTGGCATCCATCATGATTTAGACTCATGTGGTAAGCAGTAATGATTTGGCACAAACAAAGTACTTGAAGGTCTGACGCGATGTGCCCTGCAACAAAATTTGCACGGTGGTTTATAACATCGTTTGCTTCCCATTTCAACGCAGACACAACCCTCAAGGGCAAAGGTTAGCGGGGCTGATCCTCAAGGAGATGGTTCAATTCCATCATCCTGCACTGAGTGGGCTCAATGCCAAAAAGAAGTGACTGGCCTCAGTGCCTAGGGAGACGCCTGGATGATTTTCATAAATAAAATACAGCCGAAGTCCCTCCCAAAGGTTCTGTCTAGATTACTTTTAAAAGGCAACTGAATAAATCAGCCTGCCTCCAACGTCGGCGGGAGAGGCGTTGTAAACAATCAAAGCTTAAAAACAATCAAAGCTTACAACCCTCCCATGTTTGGGGAGTTAACAGTTGACCACAGCGCAAAAAAATAAAATCAGAGGAAAATGACTGCTCTTTTGGCTGCCGTGTCCCTGAAAGGACTGGACAGCTGCAGACCGTTGATTACATCAATGGGGAAGGCTGGTCTGGCGGTGACAGTAAAGAAAAGGACGTGGGGGGGGGGGTTCGTTTGTGCAAAGAGGGGTTCACTCCGGCAGGAGAGGGTGGGTCCAGTTAGCAGAGGATGGGGTCTTCAGGGAGCGGGGGGGCTTCAGGGAGCAGAGATAGGGGTTCAGGCAGCAAACGAGGGGCTTCAGGGAGCAGAGGTAGGGGTTCGGGGAGCAGAGATGGGGGTTCAGAATGCAGAAGTGGGGTCCAGGCAGAAAAGGGGTTTAGAGAGCAAAGGGGTTCAATGAACAGAGACGGGGGCTCCCGCGGCAGGGCGGGTTACCGCCCTGGGAAGCCTCTTTCGGGGTTCGCCCCTCCCCCAGGCCCGCCCCGCCGCCTCAGCCCCCGCCCGGACGACCCGAGGGGCGCAGCCCGCCGGGCTCACCCAGCGCCCCGCCTCCCCAGCACGGCGTCCCCGAGCCCGGTGCGGAGGGCGAGGTGGCCGCGGCGGTCCAACAGCGGTTGCACCCGCGCCGCCCCACGCGCAGCCGTCCGCGCCCGCGCTCACCGCCTCCGCCGCCGCCGCCGTCGCCACCGTCGCCACCTCCGCCGCCGCCGCCGCTCCCGCGGGCCGGGGGCGGGGCCAGCCTGGCGGCGGTACTAAGCCCCACCCCCGCCGCCGACCAATGGGGAGCCCGCGTTCGCGCCACGGCCCCGCCCCTTCCGCCCGGATGGGCGCAGAGAGACAGGCGGGCGCGCGCTAGGCTGACTGAAGGGCGCGGGCGGGCCTGCGGGCTCGAGGTGGGCGGCGACGGCGGCGACCTCCATCTTCTGGCCCGTGCTCCCGCCTCCTCCTGCCTGCGCCTGTCAGGCCCCCTTGGCTCTCGAGGCCCCTCCCCGCCGAGGCCCTGAGAAAAGCCTCGAGAGCCTTCCAGAACCTTCCATGGCCTGAGGCGCCTGCGGTGAGGCGTCGCGGCGGTTCCGACCCGCGCCCACCAGAGGGGTGGTCGTGCGTTTCGCACATGACCCACTTGTGTGGGCGGTGACCCGGGAAGCAGGTACCCCGCCGGCCGCGTCAGTGCGGTGGTCGCCGTGGGGTCGGTGTGAAGACACAGTGTGGGGTTCAGGTGTGTGAAGTGGCGACCCCACAGACGGCCGCACACGCTAGTGTGTCCCCTCCGCCCGGACCCAGAGTGTCTGTTGGGTCGAAGGCAGAATTCGGGGTTCGGCGTCTCGTGGCGCCGCGTTCGGGAGCCGGTTCTGCTCGGCCCGCTTCGTTTGGGGAAGTTTTGTGTCAAACGCGGCGGGTCGCCAGGGGGCCGTGGACACCGGTGCAGCCCACGCAGGGCCAGGTGGCCGCTCGCCCCGGTCATGCGGCGGTGTGTGTGTGTGTGTGTGTGTGTGTGTGTGTGTGTGTGTGTGTGTG